CTGTCATGTATTCATTCATTTTCTTATCAAGAGTGTTCAGTTTATCTTCCAGTTTCTGTATCCTTTGATGAACATCAGTCAAATCAACCGAGCCCCCACTACTTGCTGCTACTTGTGATGCTTCTCTCTCGAGTCGGCGGGACTTGACTAGTTTAGACTCTATCAGCTCAATCCCGTTCATATTCATTTCTTTCCTCACGGACTTCATGAGGGCGAGCTGTGACGAGCTGTGATTGGCGAGATAGGGAAACACTTTCACTGGGTTAAAGTTTTGAAGTATGTACTCTGTCTGCTCTATCATCTTCTCGGCAACCAGTGGCTTCACATGCAGTGGCTTGACATTGATGTCGTACGATAAAGGCATATCATTGAGAATAATGGAGTTATTATCAGGGAGTATGTCTTCTAGGGTCTCGCTCTCGTCCACCACTGTGGTAGTGATGAGTGACTCTTCTGTTCTGAGGTTAGAGACGGTGACAATGGCTGAGACAAGGTGAGAGGGCACGTCCTCCTCGTTATCAATACCAAGACACATAACGGCTCTGAGCGGGAGCTGAAAGTGCTTCAAGAGGTTAGGGAGATACTCTCGTATGTCGTGCGGTGAAGTTGAGAACTCGCCATTGCACTCCTCGTGTAGCTGCTTCTCCTTCCCAGTTGATGCTTGAATACATTTCACATAACGTCTGTTGCCTTCTTTCTGTACTACCTCTTTCACATAGAGCAGCTCTTTAGCCAGTACAGAAGACTCTGGACTCACTCCCCGAAAGGATTTCCTTGCTCTAATGACTTTGGGGAGAGAGCGACAGATCATTAGATCACCAGCTGTCTTGAAGACAAACCCTGTCATTGCTTCCTTTTTGTTAAGGTTGGGGTCATGAAGGAGAGCAAACTGAAAGCTAGTGTTAAATGGAATGCTATACAATTCTCCGTTTTCATCCTCCACAGACAAAACTTTGGACCGTTTGAGAAAGCTTGCTATGAACCGCTCGCCTTCAGAGATCGATGCCTCTTCACTGCATGCTGAAAAACCAAGAGAGACCTGAAAAGCAGCCGGCAAAGTTTCTTGATTTTGATTAATGAACTTCAAGAGACTAACACCATCAGACGGATGAGAGGGAAATTGCGGAGTATTAAACTCAACGTCTTCATAACTATCCAGGTCATCATCGTCATCATTGCTAGTAATGGGTTTGCTTGACATCTTAACTGCTGGAGGTGAAGTGGGAGGAGGAGGAGGAGGAGCTTTACGTTTAGTGACCTCAACTGGAGGAGTGGAAGTAGCCGTGGGAAGTGGTGGGAGTGGTACGGCACGTTTCAGGGGAGGGGTCTTAGGTGGTGGTATTTCAGGAGGAAGGGGAGTAGAGATGTGAGCTTCAACAGACGAGGACCTATTAGCTATCTTTTCTGATCCAGTTTTAGAACCTAGCCTCTTAGTGATGCTATTATGCACGCTGGAGCCAAGTGCTGATATCATCCTGGCTGGGGACTTTGTTGGACTTGAATTTTCCGGGGCCGGTAGAGACTGTTGCTTCCTTGGTAATAGTGGAGGAGGTTGTGCATTAGGAGGAGGGAGGGGTGGTCTGTCTGCTACGGGATCAAATGTATCGTACTGTGCAAATGTGTCATATTGTTTTCCAAACGGTTCGTACGTGACGGGGGCGGGTCTGTGTTGCTGCTCTCCCAGTTTCCTTGGAGGAGGAAGAGGAGGTGGAGCACTCTCACCAACGTAATAAGTATCGGACATTTTGTAAACTAGACAAGAGAGGAGGGGAATTTATACAGATGCTATTGGAACAGTCACATGATTAGTACAATCACTACAACAATAACACTTAAAATAAACAATAAAATAGACAATAGAGATTGTTACAATAACACTGGGAAAATATATCAAATGAGTGATTTATTGAGCCTCTCTAAACAAATGAAATGGCATACTTAGTGACTTGTAAATACACACACAAAAAACTGCCACACAATTATACTCACTGTGCTGGCGGTGGTGTGAAATGTAAATAATATCAAATAAAAAAATTAACTGAAAGGCAAACAGAGTGATCTATACTATAGTAAGGAAACAGGATATAATACAGACCATAGAGTAGTAACAGACTGGCACTACTAGTACTGACTATAGTAATCGACCCCAATCTGTTTATTTATCATAAAACTGATAACAATACTTCATTTTAATCTGATAATTCTAATAACACTGATTTTTACTTGTTATTACTATGGAAATTGATTCGATTACAGTGCTGGTATTCACTATAGACCATCTAATGGAAGCAAGGACATACCACGTACACAAGCAGACAGAACTGACTGTACACACAACAGTTGATGTTGCGGTACATATACGTTCAGTCAACAGGGAAAAAAAAGCAACTACAGTTGCACAAACAAATACACAAGTACAGTCAACATAGCATGCAAAGAGGTCCAGAGATCACGTACACAACACAACATCACAAGCTATTTTGAGATTTGATAATTGAATGCTATATTGATTATTATCAATTCATGAGTCGGTCGTCTGAATAGACTAGCTGTGCTAGTAAAACAATTCAATTAAAATAGCACATAAGGTTCGTAGTGGGCTGTTAATTGTACTATGCAGTGTGTTTTATTCTACACAATACCTGCATAGCAGTAATTCCTATCTTATTACTAGCAATTATTATGAAGGCTATCAAGTTTGTGGCTGTTTGCCTACTCTATCAATGCCCTGGCTTCACTATCAAAGCTCTTGTTACACTGCATTCATACACACACACCCATCTTTAATAATTTGGAAATGATATTAAGGTTTATTTTTAATTTCTCACCAGATTAATGTAACATCAACACAATAAGCTCCCTTCTTTGTGTACTTGGTGAAAGCTATTAGCTATACAAACAACACTGGTTTATGTATATTAGGAATTGTGTATGCCATTCAATAAAAAAACAACACTGGACCCATTACGGGGATAAAGCAGGAACTACCCAGTACACGGAGAAGAGGTCTACACACACAAAGATAGAGAAAAGGATTTGCTTGCTTAAAATATTAGGCTAGCATTGAAACCATACATGTATCTATGCACGTTATCTTTAAGGCATTGTGATAATTATACATCAATTGCTACTTGTTAAAATTAACCTCGAAATTAACACAACAAACAAGCCCTTTACACTGCATGCTGCACACTTACTGACTCAAAATGAGTAAAAGCAAAAGATGCAAGCATATAAACACATAAATTTAGGTCTAACTTACGATGTGAAACTCCAAAAACTCAAAAGGCTTACTCGGACTTGCTAAAGTTGAAGTAAAGTGTACATACAGAGCTAGCTACTGGGCGTGATTTTCTAAGATCTATGAATAATAGATCTAATGATTATTTTATATGCTAAAACAGGTGTGGCTTAGAGTTTGATGAAAATTATGTTGGTGGTGTTGCTGAATTGCTGACTGTCTGAGCTTTGAAAGTAGAGGCCTGCTGAAAGATGGAGAGAGGAGGAAACAAACGTGAGTCTTTAACTGAAGAATTACTGCTATGTTTAGTGTGTTGTGTTGTAGATTTATTGGCAAAGCTAGCCTTTGCTTGTACACATTGACAATGAATTAATTTATATAGATCTATATGCATGAATACTGAATAGGACATTATTGCAGGAATAAGTTTTCACATTAATCAGCTTTGTAAATGGCATTTTTATTTATATGCTTTACTTTAAAAAAACAGAAAGGAAAGGAAGAGGGTACAAATAGAGCTCAAAGAAGTAGTAATGTTTGTATAGTCTAAATCACAAGAGGCAATCCCACACACTTTGCCATTATAATGCTAACTGTCTCATTCACGTACTGTGAACCTCATTATACTAATAATAATATATTAATTTAAATATATGTCCCTTTTAACATAAACTATGTATGCATCATATATTACCAGTGGACTTTATATTGACAAATTGCCTAATCGAATGTAGTATGGGAACTGTGGAGACCCTATAGTTGAGCTTTCATTCAGTATGAATGTGCTCATTCAGTATGAATGAATGAATGCAGCTGCATCATTCCTATTGTTACATGCTTATGCATGTTATGTCATACAGTGTTGTTTTCATATACCAAACATTAGTCTACTAAAACATTATATCACTGTTGTTAAGATAGTGTTTGTGTGTGTGTTTGAAGTGGGTCTGCTAACATGCCAATAATATGAGTGACACACTAACTTGTCTTTAATGCTAGTATACGCTAATAGTTGAAAAGAGAAAGGAAAGAGTACAATTTGCTTTTGTTCAATTAATTTTAATTGGCAGTGAATAGAAATGTTTGTGCTTCATTTCCTCCATTTGCTCCTATTGTTTGTATACAATACTCCAGTTCTTCACTCAATCCTAATGATTTTGTATGTATATGTACATTGCTTTGCCAATAACTGATTGAGTTATTCTTCAACTTTGTGATTTGTTTATTGTTTTTGAGTTGAAATTAATAAACAAAGCAATGACTATGAATGTCATTTGCTTGAGCACTTAAGATACAATCATTCTCCTGCTATTATACATGTACATGTACATGTTCACTTCAAAGATTTGTGGTTACTTCATAAAATTATTTTGTTGCTGAAATTCAATTTAGTGTTGATTAGTTGCACATGTATCCCCTCTGATCTCTCTCATCTCTCTCTCTCTACACTTATATGTGTGTAACCTTTGCCATATAAAAATTATAATATTTAATGCAATTTTAAACTTTCAGATTGTGGCAATATTATTACAAATGGAGGTGCAGTGGCTAGGCTTAGTCAGGTTTGACTGGTTTTGACTTACCTGCTTGGTAAACTTGTTAATGTTATCATAATTCAACTGAGATTTGTAATTATAAAAGCTGGTTCATTATTAAACTAATAGTGACACTATAGTAGTAGCAATAGTGTTTGATTGTAGATAGAGGTTAGAGATAAAAGCTCTGCTGAAGCTAAAGAGAGAGAGGGAGAGAGACTTGATTATTGTAAGAGGTTATATTATCTGATACTCCATCATTACCTTTTGTGGGCTTGTCTTGTTAGTTACACTATAAGCACATTGTGGTCATGGAACTTGAAATTTATTATATTAACTTTGAATTATTTCCGGTGTTATATGAATAATTTTTATTATGTGATTTTATTGTGGTCTCATTGTATGCTAATTGATACTCTTATCTTCCTTCTCCTCCTCTTCAACAGAGAAACCACCTCCAAACCCAAAGCCTTATCATTTAACTACTAAACCAGCTACTACTACTAAACCCTCACCCTCTCTTCCCTTGAGATCAATTCCCTATGGACAATCATACACCAACACAGCATACCCTAATAATGGCACTAATGATGAGGAGTACCTAAGTATGGATGGTATAGGACCTACTTCATATCCACCACCTGCGACTGCTTTAGCTTATCCTCGTCCTCCAATACCCTATCCTCCTCCTCAATCGAACGAGAACCGTCCACCTGAACTACCACCGAGAGATGTAATGAGACCTGTCTCTAATGGTAAGCATTACCAGCTGTGTTGTACATGTACGTGTGTGTTTGTGTGTGTATTTTTGGGGGGTAAAATTTTGTTATTGTTTTCATTCCTTTACAGTGAATGTTAGCTTTTGGTTGTGTTCCTGTTGTTCTTACTTTATAAATTTTTTATATTTTTATTCTTTGCCATGCGTATAGGCACGACATTCCAAACCTATGTTGATGCAAATTCAAAAAGCTTTCCTTGTGATGTCATCATTGATACTGGCTACTATGGTGGCCACGGCAAGTCCTCGCTGTACGAGGAACAACTGACGCTTCATTTTGAGATGAAACTCCGCACGGTACGTGGTAAAGTAGACCGTGGGGCCACCTATCACATCCCTCTATCATCCTCGCTTCAATTCAGTCTCCTCCATAATCCTACTGATAATATCCAACAGGCCATGCTGGGGCATTACTTTGAGACTGTTGGACATATACTGGCCCAACCATCACGGAACAGACCATTGGTAAGATGCATGTGTACATATACATGTACATGTATTCACGCTTTATATATACATGTACATGTATTCATGCTTTATATATACATGTACATGTACATGTATATATGAATGTACATATATGTACATACATGTGTGCATATTTCTGTAGTTGTATGGTAGTGTGTGCATGTGTGTGGGTGTGTTTCATTAATATTTGGTAGTAAATAGAACATTAGTCGGTCATTTATCATTTATAAAGAAACCACAACACAAGCGTATCGGATTATTATTTAATTTATAATAGTGCATGCACTGACTGGTCCAGTTGTAAAACCAGTAAAACTAGTCTGCACTTGTACTCAGTAAAATTTTAATAATGCAAATACATGTAAAAAAATAATTTAAAAAAGCATAAGCTGTGGTATTTACAGTTAATTTTATTCCTCTCTCTCTCTCTCCTCTCTCTCTCTCTTCCTCTCTCTCTCTCTTCCTCTCTCTCCTCAGGCTATATGTGTTACCCATACCTACACAGGTCCTAATGCTGAGTCCAGTGTATGTGAAGGTGATATTCTCCTCATCAGTCCTCGAGTCCACACTCGAACCTTCAAGCAAGGGAAATTCATGAAATGCGTTGACATCGAGTCGGGAGAAGTCAAGATGCTCCATGAGAACTGTGTCGCCGGTTTTACAACTCAACCGGAAAAGATACGCATGAGCCTCAAGGACTTCTGGAACCATAAGTACTGCCCTCCTCCATTAAAGGTAGTCATGACTCACTCACTGCCTCAGGTGGTGCTGCCTCAGAATGCACTGGTGACACTATTGGCTGAAGAATGGGAGGAGTCTGTCATAGCAACTCACATGCAGGAACTGGAGCAGATGACACAGTCCGCAGCAGCAAATGGTACCCAAACGATACGTATACTAAAGGACATAGGTATATCGGTGAAACCAGCAGAGGGAAATGGGTCTAAGGACACAAGCAGTCTTCAACAAGAGACCTACCACCTGTACAACGAGTTTGATCTAGTTTATATCAATCAGCATCTTTTCTCCGACGATCCGGTTTGGCCTAATTTCGAGGAAGTTCAGTCAATGTTCTACAAGTCAGTGATGAAGGACTGCACTCAAGACTACTCCATTAAGAAACCAGAGAGCCTCTTGAAGAATATCAAGCGTCAAAAGTCAATAAAGAACAGTCCTCTCTCACGCAGGAGATTGTCCACTAGTATTGACCAGGTCAATGCCCTTGGGACTGGAGTGAAGAGTGATTACTCACCAGTTACCTTAAAGGGATCCATACCTGAGAATAGTGCCTACGGAACTGTGGGTGACTCACAGGTAAATTAGAAAAAGAGTGATTAATAAAAATAAAACAATTCAGTGTAGTAGCTATTACCTATTAAGGCCTTCATAGACTAGGCAACTTGCTGCTAGCAACATTTGTGGTTACTCTGATCTTGTAAGCAACATGTTGCCAAGAATAGAAAGATGTTCTATTTTTGGCAACATGTTGCTTGGTTGCTAGCAAAAGTTGTCTCATGTATGAAGGCCTTTAGTAGCTATTAGGTATACTTAGTATTATTAATGTTTATATGGTAGGGTATGCCACCACCAGGGCATGAGGCATATCCAGTGGTTCATGATGGGACTGAGGTTATACCTGATGTAGCTCACTTGTTGCATGAAGTCAACACTGCTAATAGACAAATGATGATACACGTTGAAGGACTTAGAGGTAAGGAAAGAATAATAAGAATAATATGTACATATGCTTAGTAATCCCAAAGTCCCTGTAAATTTCAGCAAAAATAGTGAGGAGAGAGTTTTCAATTTTTATAATTTTATCTGATACATATGCATGTTTTTATGTAATGTAGCAAGTTTGAGCTAATTCCGATCAAATTAAATTTTTTTATGAATTTTTAAAGTTGCTGTAAAATTTGGTCAAAGTCCCTGTACTATAGTACAGGGCATTTGGCCAAATTTCACCAAAAATGAAGAGGAGAGATTTCTCAATTTTTATAATTTTTCTTGATTCATATACATGTTTATATGTTGTATAGAAAGTTTGAACTGATTCCAATTAAATTTGGATTTTTTACGAATTTTTAAAGTTGCTCCAAAATTGGGCCAAAGTCCCTGTACTATAGTACAGGGTATTTGGTCAAATTTCACCAAAAATGAAGAGAAGAGAATTTTCAATTTTTATAATTTTTCTTGATTCATATACATGTACTTATGTTGTGTATAAAGTTTGAGTTGATTTTGATCAAATTTGGATTTTTTAAGAATTTTTAAAGTTGCCCCAAAATTGGGCCAAAGTCCCTGTACTATAGTACATGCATGGTCTTGGACCAAATTTTGACAAAAATGACTACGTGAAAATTCTCCATTTTAATGATATTTTTTGACAGATATACATGTACTGATGTTGTGTATAAAGTTTGAGTTGATTCTGATCAAGTTTGGATTTTTTATGAATTTTTAAAGTTGCTCCAAAATTGGGCCAAACTTTTGAGCTAAGTCTAATAAAATTTGATTTTAAAGTTACTCTAAAAATTTTGATCAAATTAGCAACAGTAATCCTATGAATAGAAGGTACTAGTATCCTTAAGGGACACATTTAAATCCAGCTCAAAGGATATTGTCCATTTTTCCCAACTGATTCACAGAAAGGGATGCATTGTTATTAATAATAAAAATGCACACATGATCTTTATTCCAGCTGAAGTAGTATCTCTATATTTACTAACATCAATGCATTATTCTTTTAGCTGAAATTGAAGGTCTTAAGCAAGACTTGAGGCAAACCAAATCAATTGTTGGTTCAATCAAAAGAGGTACCAGCATATTAGCTCCAACAATAAGTAACCTTTTATCCTTTTGCTTCTTCAGAGATGTACAATGTGATTGGCAAGCTTGAGTCTGACGTGACATTGTTAAAGGAGAACATTGGCGAATATGTATCTGTTATTAAATCTGGAGCTACACCCGTTGAAGTAGAGAATAAGGAAATATTGAAAGCGTTTACATCAGACCAGGTAAATGAATGTATACTATATAGTAATGTCGGACCTGCTATGTGCATTTAATGCTACTAGGATAACTGATAACAACCACTGAATTAACAAATCAAGCTAATTATATATACAGGCATTCTCTCTCTCTTTTCCTACTGCCCTCTCTCTGTATGTAAACACATTGTTTACTGCAAGCGAGCTACTGCAACTATTCAGTTTCATTCACTAGCTAAATCACACACTTTCATTACTTCCTTAACACTGTATGTCACACAGTGTTAACGTATGCCAATTGGGAATTGTATATTTTAAATATAAACGTATTGCAACTGGAATACAAATTACTTAATATCTACTATGCTACAAAATGTATTAAAACATGAATTCTAGGTACTGCAGGCCTTGGATCTGCTCTCCCTCTCTCAGTATAAAAATACCTTCTCTGTGAAAAGGGTGACTGGTTTGGAGCTGGTCCAATATAATGACACTGTCCTCTCACAGGATTTAGGCATGACAAGCCAATCTGACCGCATAAGGATGATGCTCTTTATTGAGGGAAGAGAAGCTGTTTGGAAGCTACTAGAGGCCCAGTCTCAAGCAACTGAATAATGACATTGATGATAATAATAATACGCTCATCCATGCACATACATAACATTAATGACTTTTGTGTTTATTTTTTATTTCTCTTGCAACCAATGCAGTGTACAGTGTTAAAATTTGTTTTTAATGTTTGGTTGCATTAATTTATTGTGTTTCTCATGTTCTTTTTTTTATTTTGTGCTTTTTTTGTTGGATTTCAGTGATAATTATAAGGACACGTGGAACCATTTTGGAAAACATAGTAATGATTGATTGTGTACTAATAACTTGACCACATAAATTTGATTATTAATTAAAAAACGGAAAGGGATAGATAGGGCCTTTGTAGACGCTCCTGACTGCATTCTCTCTCAGTCTCTAACGTCCTTTCTGCCAGCAGCCCTTTATATACTGTTCAAATACGTGTGAAATCCTAGTCCCTGCTATTGCTATACACTGGACTGTACAAGGTAAAACGAGCCAGTGGCTCACAGTTGTTGTAGAGTAGTATTTGTAAACATATCCTAGTATTTAGTCTATAAATCTCGTTATGGCATACTCCTGCCTTCCCTGCATTAAACCGTGCTAATGCCATTAGGCCAAGGTCTTCATTTCTATTCCAATCCTTTGTAGCCTGTAATTTTTGAGCCTGCAGTTATTTTAGGTCAGAGACTGTGAGTCTGTGTGTTGATGAACTGAATGAGCTGTATATAAGATAACAGTATGCTATTGTCTTTTTCTTAGGGTGTTTCTCATTGATATCAGTCTGCATGCTAACAGTGGTAAATCAAGTACTGCATAATGCAACCAGGACGTCCTTTGCCACAGTTGCCAATAGAGCGACCACTACCTGAGCTACCTTACTCCTCTTACGATACTTTACCACCAGCCCGCCCGGTGTCTAAGACTCCCCCTCCCTCGAGGAGAATTGCCGTCGAGCATGACATTGATACTCCTCCACCATTACCTCCTGTGTCGGCTCTTGCAATGGTGAAAAAGTCCCAAAGTGCTTTCTTTAATATGGATAATAAGGTACAGCGCCCTAGTCTCCCTGATGCCTCTGTTCGTCCTCCATTGCCGCCTCGCAAGTCATCAGTTCCAGTGTCATCATATCATAATGCAACAACCCCGCCCTCCAAACGAGAGAGCACGTCAAGCTCCCTCTCTACCGATAGATCCAGCATGTACGACATACCTAAATCAATGAAGTCAGGTGCTGGAGTTGGAAGGGGGCCTAGTAGCGTCTCGCTGGATTCAGTCTCTGTTTGTAGTTTTGGTCGGGCACCCTCTCCTGTCAATTATGTTCCTGTATCGGAGTCAATGTCGCTCAAGCAGCTGGTCGCGTATCATCAGAATGAGTTTCCGCTCCGTGTTGAGGTCTCTGCTGGTTATTTTGGGGACTCTGAGTGTGATACTTTCTCCGAAGGAGATCGTCTTAACTTTCACTTCATCAAGCAGCTATCAGTCGCTGTCATAGAGACTGGTACTGGACAACTGGTCAGAGTCCCATTGAATTCTGCTGCCCGTTTCTCACTCATTTATGATCCAAACAATAATCCAAAGGAAGCAGTTACTGGGTTTGAGTTTAAGTCTGTGAAGGATGTCCTTGCACAAAAGGACATGCCAAAGATAATATGTGCCACAAAAGCTCATGGGAATCCGTCAAATGTATCTCATTCAGTTCAAGCTGGTGAGCTCCTCCTCATTAATGAAGTGAAGCATGGTCGATTTGGAGGTCAATCCCTTATATGCACATCCATTGAGAATGAGAAACAAAAGCGTCTCCCGGAAAACTGTCAAGGGTTCTTCTCCACAGCTCCCAATCATGTCATGTTGTATCTTCCAGAGCTTACTAAGAAGTTTGACCTCCCGTTGAAAGTAATTGTCAGCGAGTTGCCAAGCAGCGGTAATCTTGGAGGAAGAATATCCGACTCTCTTACAATCAGAGAAATTGTTACTATTGTTAGTGTCAATAAAGAGTCAACAATCATTGCTACTCCGGTCCCAGACGAAGAGGACACACAATTTAGCAACGACAATACTTCCATGATGTTTGACATTCCTGTCGACTTGGAGATACTCGAGGTGCAAATAATTGAAGAGAAGAACAGTGACGAATTTGAGAAACTCTACGTCGATACACGCCAGCTTCTCGACTCTTTTGATCCTTCGAAAACAGACAAACAAGTGAGGGTTGGTAAGCAGGATGATTTATATTATACTGCCATACGCGAAGACCACAAGAACGTTGGTATAGAGCTACTGGCTAGTGAGAGTATCTATAGTGAACCGAGACAGGTCCTTGCTAGAAAGAAAATGGAGAATGCAGTGAAGGAGAAGCTAAAGTCTTCAGTTGAGCAATCTTCAACTTCTTCATCTCCGCTGCCCCAGATAATAGAACCAAAATGTTTACCTTCAGACCAAGTAAGTGTTTTGCCAATGCACACTCACTCACAGCCACATAACTGTGCGTAGGCAATGGTCCTCATGTTTTCATGAGATCGTTATTTTGTTAGTTTCTGCCAATTATCAAAACAGTAAGAGTTAATCTGGGGAATTTGTGTTAGTTTTATATTCAAACTTCAAGCCTGCCCACCATGATTTCAATCTCTTTGAGTATGAGTCAACACACAATCAGTGCCCAGATCTTGTAGATAGAGGAAGATACTACATGTACGATTACCATAATAGCAGAAATAATTTATGATGACATTTGTACATTGTATTCAACGATGCAGTAAATTATTTGGCTAATCCTACACACTCTATCATTACTCCTCCTTTGCATTCATTGCTGTACCTCTTGAGGAGGATGAGTCTATTAGCATCTACTACTGGGAAAAACAAGCTATTTGAATAATAGTAACTGTATGGGATTGATTGTGTTGGTTTCCAAAAACAAGTAATAGCTAATGCTTATCATAAGAAAGGTGATGGGACAGGAATTTGTCGAGCCAATCACAATTACAATTATCCTTACGTAAATTTACACTAGTACACATATCTATATGGGAATGAGTTCCTTTAAACTATTAAGTTATTGCTACTACTATTCAATTATATAGACAAGTGACTCCAATGATTACTATGCCATGGATCTCGGATCATCAACAAAGCATTCGCCATCTCGTTCACCCTCTCACTCTCCACTGCCACCATACAGTGGTACACCAATGCAAGATGCACCTCTGTACATGATGTCAAAACTAATGATGATGAACGGCCATTCACCCGATGTTGAAGAGCTGAGGAGAGACGTTATGGAGATGAAGGGGTCTATGATGCTACTGAGACAGCAAATGGAAGGTGGGCATATATTGATAATAAGTGACATAGTAATGCATTGATGTCTGGTATGCATTTAACCGAATTAAGGATTGTTTGTCTGATAACACTGATACTCTTAGTGTACAAACATTGACTATTAGATGACATCATACATGGGCCTATAGTAATGCATTTAGCACCAAACGATTTTCAGTCTCAATGAAAATACCGAATGTTCGTGAGAGAAACACATAACTTAATCTTTTGTTGGCATCTCCAGTGACTATCAGTAGTTTATTCTCTACGCTATGATGCCTTGATGTTTGGTACTAAATGTTTCCCTCAAGTTTGTGAGTTTTGATAGTTTTCCAAAAAAATTGATCCTCAACTCCAAATATTATGTGTACTCTGTTTTAAATACACACATACCGATCATTTGCTTGTCATAAGTTCCCCTCAAGATAAGCAGGCAATGAAAAGCTATTGATGATCAATGTACACACACAGCACAGCATGTGTTTCTGCATGTACATTACACAGTTAGAGGACTCAACAACAATTAACTATTACCATTCCATTTTACTCTGATAGCATTATTTTATATTATTTTAATGTTTTAGGCTTGCAGCAGACAATAAACAGCCTTCAGTCAGCAATGAGTGCTCAGCCTCAGACTACGAATGGTAATTATGTGGATATGCTCCCATCAAAAGACTCTATTGTATATAAAATGTCTTCAAAGGAGGTAAGTAGTATCATGACTGTATACACTTTGCATTACACTTTGGCTGTGCATTGATCAAAAACATGTTAAAATTCTGCCTAGAAAAAAAATAGAGATAGTTGGAGACTAATATTGTTTTTTTTAAATTAATGTACACCATACTAGTAGACTACAGTATGATGCTTTCTGTATGGTTATTAGTATTAGTTGCATGGTTGGTCTAAGTGATGAACTAGTTAATTTAATTCATTTGTTGAGGTGGTTGCCCCGACCACCCCCGACCACCATAGGCAGAACTATAATGTACTATGTTTGTGCTATGTATGCAATGGGGAAATTTTATTTAATCCAAAATATTTACCTGATTAGCTTACAACTATTATCTACTCTTGCTTACACTAATACAATGATTGTAAACAAGGCCCTTACACACTGTTACTGTCTTGTCATGACCCTTGTTTTCTCATAGGTATTGCAAATGCTGGATAAACTTAACCTGTCCCAATACAAAGAAATGTTTGAGAGAGAAGAGGTCGACGGGCAGCTGCTATCCGAGCTAGATGAAGACACGCTGAAGAGCGAGTTAGGAATGACTTCAAAAATACATCGAAAGAAACTCTTACTTGTCATTCAAGGCAAACAAACTTATCAGCATTTGGTAGTAGAAACTTAGAGACAGTAACTCTCACAAAGCATTCATTTGTCGTACTTATTATTTGACCTCCAGTTGTAAATTTTTTGTCATTATTTTAAAAATTTAATGTTATTTACAATAATTTTTCTTCAAGCAATCACATATATATTCAAGAAACTAAAAATAATTTTATACGTACATTGTTCACATATTCCTTGTTTACGCTTAGAAGTGTGAAATGAGTTTTTATGCTGTGTAAACAATTTTACAATTTTAGAGACTACGAAGTAAAAATAAACGCAATGATAGAGTAATAATACTGACAGATGTTAAGTTTTAGTAATGAGCTGGTGCATGAAACAAAATTAATGATGACACTAACATAATAATAATAATAATAATATTAATATTAATAATAATAATGACAATGACATTAAAATAATATCTATAGCGTATATATTTATTTATAATTTCACTGTCTATAAGGTCTTTGATAATCCTATAATGATAATGTTACAACAATAATTATTTTTATTCATAATTCTTTCTAACCACTTCCATTACCTGTTTTGCATTGCGGTGACCATACTCATTCGGCATCGTACTGTTAAATGATGGTGGTGGTGGTGGCTGCTGTGATTCCAACTCGCTCTTCAATCTAGTCTTGATTTGATGCAAACCAGCTTGTTTATTTATCAGTCCTTGAATCTGTTCCTCAATATCTATAACAACATGAAGAGTATAAATATAAAAATTATTCAGCAAATACACTATTGCATGTATAAAGTTATTGATACTCACTACTGATTTGTGTGTCCAGTGCTTTTATTTGTGCAGCTAAACTCTCTTGCATTCCCTTTTCTTTTCTGTTCGCTTCTTTTTTATTTCTCCCTCTTTGATGGCTCAGCTGTCTGCCCGATACCACTTCAGTACTGCTCATAGAAGCTCCATGACTATCACTTGCAACATTCCACTTGACTCTTTCTGCATTTCCAACACTGTATCTTGGCGGCTGTTCAATCTCAATTCCTACAGTTCTTCGTCCACCTCTCTGACAAGCAGCCAGTGCTTCAACTGACATTGGATCAACAGTACTAGATGCAGCATTTGATGGTATAGCTGCAATGTTTGCATAGTCCATGGTATCGTAGAGGTGGTCGGTCTGTTCATAGATTTTGTCGACAACCCTTGGCTCAACTACTTGTACTTCTATATCAAGGTTTATTGGTATCTCCACGAGTGGATGGGTAGCATCGTCTTCAGTTATGACGTCAAGTTGAGTGGCAATGAGTGAAGTTTCAATGCTACAGTGAGTCAGCCTTACAGGACGTGAGACCATGCTTGGGGGTAGGTCTGGATTATCTTCCTCATTGATGAACATCTGAAAAGTGTTGGGAAGTTTGAAGTATTTTATTACTTCAGGAAGATAAAGGCAAGTATCGCTGGGTTGTATGGTGAAGAAGCCGGAACAGTTGGACTTTAAAAGTTTTGGCTTCCCAGAAAAGGCATCAATGCATCGTAACTGCTTGTTTCTAGTGATAAAATTTTGTTTGATACTTTGAAGGATGAGTACATCACCACGATTGATTGATCTCTCTTCTGATCCTTTTATTTGCCAGGTCTGTGTTGCTTTAGCAGCTAAAGGGAGTGGTGATAGTGACAGGAGCTTACCAACCGTCTCATAATCAATAGGCTCTGGCTCAGCTTTGTCTTTCTTAGTGGAGCTACTTGTAGAAAGGATCCCAAACGTAGCATTTGAATTTAAAGGGATTCCATAACTACCAAGCAACCTGTCCTCTGCTGCCACTGTCTTTGTGTATTTCACAAAGTGTATTGTGAAAATCTCTCCTTCGGAGATTGACCACTTGTCAGTTGTGCCATAAAACCCTTTGGAGACCCGAATTTGAACCGGAAACTCACTTTTGTACTTACTAACAAATTCCCTGAGCTCCATATCACCAGAGAGAGGAGCGAATTCATGCTCTACATTAGTTGGTGAAGTAAAGGATGGAGTGTTAGTTGGTGAAGTGAAAGGTGGAGAAGATATTGGCGGTCGTTTGACGTCTTGATGATGTGGCTTGGGTTTCGTTGCAGGAGGACCAGGCACAGCATACTCAATCTGTGGTTGGAGCGGATGATGATGCTGCAATGGCTTTGGTGACTGACGCTTGGCAGTGGCTCCCTCTGAGTAGTGTTGATTTTGATTCTGACTGGGTGGAAGAGGCTTGATCTGAGGTGGACTGGGTAGTCTGTACTGCTGTGGCTTCTTGTTATGATAAAGAGCAGCATTGCTAGAGCTGGCAACTGCTTGAGTTTGCTGCATCAGGACTGAGGCTGGTATGAGATTCCTAGACCTATGCAGTGACTGTGTTGCATAAAAAGGAGTTGGACTAGGAGCTGGCAACGGTCTGTTGACCAGTGAAGATGCAACTACTGGAGTGGGACTCTCTCCTCCTCTCATCATCATGATTGATTGATTTTGTTTTGGTATGTCTCTCATGCCTGATAGTTCTTCTACGACATTAACATAGCTATCATCAGAGTCATCGGAGTCATCACAGATACCATTATGTACCTCCATGCTTTTTAAATCGTGTCGTCGGGACATTTTCCTATCATAAACAAAAGTTTTGTTAATATTGTGTGCATTAGAGGGTCGTGTTTGCATAATTTAAACAACTGGTATGTTGTTGTTTAGGAAGAACTCCATACAAAGTTTGAATAATACTCATTTCTGTTCGTGGGTGCACTTACAACTTGCTCCAAACATAAACGGGACGTGGTCTCTATATGCATAGGCAATCTTGCAGTTTCAGTGTATTTATTCCATAAAGATAAACAAATGCAACCACTATGATGTTGACTTACAGAGCAATGAATAACAAGAAGCCTAATGCATACATTGTTTTAGTTACTCACATGTGTCACACAAACAGGTATACTCACGGAACAGTTGTTTCCTACAGAAAGTGCTTTATGCTTTCTTAGCTGCTCCTTAATGCAAAGCAACTTTAGTCCATACACATAAACAAGTCCCTTTCAAATGTAGTTCAGTTTTGCTTTGCTTGATAGCAAGGTATATATTTGTTATCTATACTGTTGCAATTAATATACACATTTTTACTAAACTGGGAATAGGCTATCTACAATCAACAGAAATATTGCAGTACACTCTGCTAAAAATAGATTGCTACATCTTTCTAAAGAAAGAGATGTAGGGCTAACATGATTGGTAGTAGATTCTACAAGTTAAGGATTTTACTCAATGATTTAAAGACTTACCTGAAACTAGTTAATGGTGTCTTCCTTCACTTGTAGATAGCAGTAATTGATCTATATATAATATAATAGCAACTGAATGAACAAGGCTGGCAATCCACAGGTTCTGATAGCTTCACTCCTTCCTATGTCTGTTTGTCCCAGTGACTGAATGTCACCTTAGCAGCGATTAATTAACTATTATTTATTAGTCACTGTTAGCTTAAGAAGTTTACTTAAACTTAAGAATAACATTATTCTACTCGTGGACACATCAGGCACACATGGACACTGTGCTAGCTTTTAAACCCACTCATGCTTTAATATAAACTACAATTAAGTCTCGTCAAATAAATGACTCGCCAGTGTAATTTTTTAATTATATCACTCAAATTTAATACACACAGGAACACAAAATAAAATTACACGCCCCCAAGAAGTCTTTCTTAATAGCATTATTGAAGGAAATGACGAATAATTTTTATTCTCTTAATATATTCTGCTCAATGGGATCATCTCTAACTTCCTGTAGATAATAATAATAATAATAATAAGAAGAATAATAAGAATAACAACAATAACAATAATAATAATAATAATAATAATAATAATAATAATAATATTAATAATAACAATAATAATGAGGATGATGATGATGATTTCTTACTCTGATAACTTGAGTTAAGAAGCACCATGAGCAGAAAGCTCCTAAAAGGCAGTCATTACCAAGTGAGCCCTGCAGAGGAAGGGGTCATAAAGGTTATGTCAACATTAGAGTAAAGGATCACATGTACTTCAATTTCTCATATTAAAATTTTATAAGAGTCTTATTAATAACTACTGACCTCAATTCCTCTTTGCTCTCTCACTTGCCCAACAATATACACCACGTACCCAGCGTGGCCAAGGAGGTTAAATATTTGTACCAATGTCCAGTAGAGGCAGCAATGCATCCATTTGCTGTCCCCAAGGGTTTCAGCTAATTCCCCAACGGCAACACACGAGCAGAAATAGCTATACAAACCTATTGTTATCATGAAAATAATGGCCTAGGGATATCGCTGATGGGTTGTAACAATGAATAAAATTAAAGCGGTAAAAGTTCTATTTCTTTGACTTGAATTACCCTTTTCGTTGTTGCTATTAATATTCATATCACTATTATTGTCAGAAAGTGCACAGCACATTCAGCAATAAAGCTCAGTTTTGCGAATCAAAATTTGCTAGCAGTTTTTATTGCTCATTCTCTTTTTTACACTTACATTATTGTAAATATAAACTACCAAGTTGTTCACTTACACACTGAAACATCGTCAAAACAGCCAAAAAGTGGATACTTAAAACCCCCGTCGTCTGCATCTGCCATTTTGCTGAAGGTGTGGCTAATAATTAGTAATTAATTTACTTAATAACTACCTATTCTTAATTATTATTGTTAATGATTGTGTGATTAAAAAATTAAAGCGATAATATGTAATACAAAAACATATAAACTACTAATTTTCTTCTCTTGTTTCTTTTTTCAACGTTTATTAGCCTACAACAAAATACAAAAAAAATATTATCATTAATCATGTGCCGATTTCTCTTCTTTTTTTTGACTCCCTTTTCCTCTCTCAAATCTCATAACAAACCAGTTTGGATTTAATGAGTCTAACCCATTCATCAGCTTCAGATTCTGATTCTGCATACATATAAAATGTTCTATAGCTTGTCACTAACCTAATAAAAATGAACAATATTCAACATATCATGAATCTATAAGACTGTACAAATAATTATCGTTGCCCTAGCTAGTACTACGTGTTTCCATAAACTTTTAAGGATGTTCAAGAACTTGGTCAAAACTCCTGTGTTTGGTTTTGGGCCAAATTCTTCCAAAAATGAAAAGGAGAGAATTTTCCATTTTTATAATTTTTTTTCTGATGCATATACATGTACTTATGTTGTGTAGAAAGTTTAAGCTTGTTCCGATCAAATTTGAATTTTTTTAATGAATTTTTTAAGTTGCTCAAAAATTGGGCCAAAGTCCCTGTACTATAGTACAGGGGTTTTGACCAAATTTTGGCAAAAATGACTAAAAGAGAATTTTCCATTTTTATAATTTTTTTGATGTAAATACTTGTGTAGAAAGTTTGAGCTTGTTTTGATCAAATTAGGATTTTTTTTAGAAATTTTTAAAGTTGCTCAAATATTGGGCCAAAGTCCCTGTACTATAGTACACGGTCTCGGGCCAAATTTTGGCAAAAATGACTAGGAGAGAATTTTCCATTTTTATAATTTTTTCTGATGCATATACATGTGCTTAAGTAGTGCATAAAGTTTGAGCTCGTTCCAATCAAAGTTGAATTTTTTATGAACTTTTAAAGTTACTCAAAAATCAGGCCAAAGTCCCTGTACTATAGTACAGGGATTTCAGCAAAATTTTGGCAAAAATGACTAGGAGAGAATTTTCCATTTTTATAATTTTTTCTGATGCATATACATGTACTTATGTTGTGCATAAAGTTTGAGCTCGTTCCAATCAAAGTTGAATTTTTTATGAATTTTTAAAGTTACTCAAAAATCAGGCCAAAGTCCCTGTACTATTATAGTACAGGGATTTCAGCAAAATTTTGGCAAAAATGACTAGGAGAGAATTTTCCATTTTTATAATTTTTTCTGATGCATATACATATACTTATGTTGTGCATAAAGTTTGAGCTCGTTCCAATCAAAGTTGGATTTTTATGAATTTTTAAAGTTACTCAAATATTGGGCCAAAGTCCCTATGCTATAGTACAGGGTGTATGACCAAATTTCACCAAAAATTAGGAGAGAATTCTCAATTTTTATAATTATTTCTGATGCATATACATGTATTTATGTTGTGTAGAAAGTTTAAACTGATTCCAATCAAATTTGAATCTTTAATGAGTTTTAAAGTTGCTCAAAAATTGGCCTAATTTTTTTCTCCAGTGCCTATGGTATTTTGTCAAAAATGATTCTGAAAAATTTCTCTAAATTCTCTGATACATTAACTAACTTAAAGCAAAATTCTTTCCCAGAAGAAGTGTCTCTTTCGATTGATGTTGCATCTGAAATATTAATTTCTTTGAGTGGGACTAAAGAGTCCTTGGTTGAGTAATAACACAGCTTGGCCCTAAAGAGTCTGAACCATCTTAGCTTCCAATTCTACACAAAAGAAAAGAATTTATGAAATTGTTAATTTAATTGTAGAAGATGCATATAATAAGTAAATAGTTACCTTTCTGTGATAGCCAAGTTTCGTTAAATAACCAGATTTTGAAGTCACCTATAAATTACATTATCACAATTAAATAAGTGCAGCAAATAATTATTATGATGATCTTTATTTTAATTCAACTCACACTTGATCCTATAGCAGCAGGACTCTTATCACCGCCAACTGTGGCTCCGTCAGGTCCCTCCATTATAACTGGCTCCTCGTACTCAACAAACTCTTTAACACAGCGAGGATAAGGATGAGATAAGTATACAAGTAATCCTAATATAATAACAATAATACGTACAAGCGATTAAGGAAATTGATATTCAATTATTCATTATAAATTATTGTCTATACCAAGTATACCAGGAATGGTATACCAGGAAGAAGAGAAGAGGAATGGAATGGGAGCATTTGTCAACATAGGAACATTTATTGTACAACACATGTTAATATCCAATTTCTCTGCCATATCCTTCCGCCATATTTGCTTTCTTCTTTTTATTAATAATTAATTACCAGAGTCTCCGCTAATGACTGGCTGGCTATCAAAGTGCTCCAAAAACTCTGGTATATTTTTGAACTTTCCTAGACCAAAGCACAAGTGCTTCCCATCCCAAGTTACTCTGTAGTGCTTGATAGAGTCTTTGTATCTATAAGAGGAGGGAAAGGGAGAGGAAAAGGAGAAAAAAAATAAGCAAAAATATAAAAGCAAGTTAGATGTTTTTCTTGCCAAGTTATGAAAGTTAAGTCAGGCAATAAACTTCCAGGTAGAGTGTATGGATGCAATACAGACCAGAGGTTAAAGTTACAGTATCTTCCAGCCAATTAAGTTATGATAGTGTGATCCAAAAGCTGAGGTAATGTTTGGTGATATTAAGAAGATCAATAGGTATAGTGAGCTTCATGACTGCTCCTAGTGCATTCCTTTGACTTCAGGCTGGTCTTGTGTCTGACCAGCCTGAAGTCAAAAGAATGCACAGAGAGCAGTAGCGAAGCATGATTACTATTACTCAAACTGAAACTAAAATCTCATTAAAGAAAGAAAAACCAAATAGTGCTAGCTTTTTGTTAAATGATACAAAGAGTAAAAAGGGACTAATGAGGGTCTATACCAAACACATACAAATATTTCGAGGGACACAAAGATCCTAACTATTACCCAATACATGTACACACTCATAACTTATTTCTACTTACTTTACTGATAGAGTTAATGTGTTTTCGGTCGAGCCACTATCTCTCAGTAAGAAAGTTCCTTCAGGAGTGCTCTTTGATAATAGCAAGCTCTCTGCAATGTGGCGATTTATTTTAGGATGATACCATCTACAGAGGGAAACAACAAACAATATAATCATAAAACTGTACAATAATCACTGGCATTAAGCTAGACCAGTGTTTATGATTCACAGTATGCAGAAAAGTGACCCACACAAAGACAATGTGAAAGTATTCAATAAGATGAGTACAATGCTCCATTGTTTTCATACGGGACACACACAAACAGCAATTTGTATGTCTTTAAAATTCTTGTAGATAAGGCAGGGCTTAGTTAATTCGTTTAATTAATAATTAAACAATACTATGTAACCTCCGTGTACAATTAAAGCATGTAGCTATCATTTTTGAAACAGAAATAGTAAAGTTTACAATACTACAGAACATGTAGAATAATAAAGTATTTAAATGCTTACGGGATGTCCATGTATTTCGGTGCAGAAGTCTTTTTTGCAAGTTTAGCTGCAGCAAAGTGCTGATGGAGTTTTGAATTAGTAAGGAGAGGAGAGGTCTGCAGTGAACCCGTAGAGAACGAAGCAGCCACTTTCAATTCGTCTGGTGCCTATAATTAATAATAATTGTGACTACACGTACAATAAGTAGAGGCATCACACTTGAATTGTTTTTGGTAGTAATTGATTGCATTGGCTACATGACTGCAAGTTAAAATGATGCCATTTAAGGGAGAACTGTTTACATTAAAATCTACAGAACATCGAATTACATAACACGACCCATTGAAGGGGACCATCTTAGCTAAGTATGTGGTATGCAGTGTGTTATTATTCTTAGAGCATTCTTGGTATAACTGTATTTGTGAAAGGTGTTAGGCCTAAACTGTAGCATAACACATAATGGGTGCTATAGAATTGTAACAGCAGCTATGAAATTGTAAGCTTTTATAGGAATTTTGCTGCCCTGGCACAAGTTAATTGGTAAGATCGAGTAGGATCAAAAGGTTTACTTGTGCTTTGTATTCAAAACAGTTACAATTTAAATAGACAGTCTCCTTAGGCTTTCTGTTCCAAAGTTAATGTTTAATTGTGTTTCTAAACCACTCTGCCTCTGACAAGATTGCTTGTTTTTTTTAAATAGACAAAATATATACATATAAAAATATGTATGCTTTTCCTACCTCTCTTTGGCAAACTTCAAAAGGTAAGGACGGCCTGTGTTCAATTTTCCATCTCTCTCCCGGGGCAGTGGATTGTGGTGGTGTCCGTGAAACAATCATATCGTTGTTTTCCTCTTCTTCCTCGCTGGAGTCGCTCCCGTTGTAAGTGACAGGCCTAAGCTCCTTCTCTCTATGTAGCGTGCTTACTTTCTTTCCCCGCAGCCCAGTGGTTCCTGGAGAATGTGCTCCTACAGTTATAGCCTGTTTTGTAGCTACAGCCATTTCCGAGACCATTAAGTATTATAATATTTTTATTCTTAGTAGGAGTGGCTAAAAATAATGATAATATTTTTATTATTATAATCTTTTCTGACACACTAAAAATTAAATAAAAATTACATATATTTGGTTTATAGTAATAAGTACGCTATGTTTCAGTACCAGACAAACTCTCCTATACAAAGAAGAATAGATTAGTACATTTTAAACTGAAGGAGCTTACAAGTTTCCATCTTAGAATTTTAATCCAGTCCTCGGCTTCTTGAGCTGACGTGGCATACAAGAAAAATGTTCGCCATGATGACACAACTCTAAAAATACAAAAAACAACACAATAACTTCCATACAGCAACTGACAGCAAGTGTACATGATTTAACAATAAGAAACAATGCTTGTAATATGAGTATAATACTTGAAACAATAATTCTTGTATTGAGAGTTATCTGCCATCACCATAGAGACATCCTTTAAATTTATAACACGAATTGGAGTTTTATCCTTTAAAGTCGTAAATGATTGCATCAGTACTGCACTAGCTGACTTACTTCTCTTGTTTTGTAGTAGCTGAATTCGTTCTTGTATAAGACAAACCACCGAGTCTTCCAATTCTAAAATAGAAAACAATAATAAATATACTAATTATTGACAAGCATTATACTTTTCTATGCTGCCCAAGTTTAGTTAAGTATCCTTCTTTAGATGCAATCTATAAAAAATGAAATTAATAAAATTAATAATAGTAATAATAATAATGATGATGATGAATAGTAAGTGACAAAAGAAAGTCCAAACAAACTTAAATTAACATGTTTCTTGACAATATTTTAGTACTTGTTGATACTTACAGCAAAAGTGGGTTGGGCCTTTGTTTCAGTGACTCCGCCCTCAGCATGCACTCTGATTGAATCATACACCTCGGGCTCCTTCACACTCCGAGGATAAGGGAACTTTAGTACCGTCAAGATACCTGCATCAAAAATAAGCATAAGCACTAGCTAGCAACAACTGTACTATATATTAATAATAATAATAATAATAGTCTAATTTAGTATTATCTAAGTGTATTATTGTCATTGTATACTAACCAGAGTCTCCTCCGATAACGGGTTTACTCTCAAAGTGACTAATGAGGTCTTGCACGTTTGAGAACTTTCCAAACCCAAAAGTAAATGATTCTCCGTCATAGCGAACAGTAAAATGTTTGACCGAATCTTTTGACCTGAGAATAAAAATAACAAACATTGAAGATAAGAACAAAAGCATAGACACAATCAGTTTCCATGCAATAAGGAACGAGTAACGTTAGCTGTATAAATACTTTCTGGATGTAGTCATGATAAATTAGCTGGTACATGATTTGGGGGATTTGATCCATATATGTATTGCATAGCAGGATTTCCCACATGCACAAACACCTCTTCATTTATAAACAAATTACACACAAACACACACAAATAAAACATTAAAAAAATTAAACACAGACACTATTACTCCCATCATTGACCGGTGACATACCTTACAGAGAGGCTGTACTCCCCAGGGTTAGCACTACTGTCTCTTAAAAGATAACTGCCATCTTCACCAGTTGATATAAGTAAACTCTCAGCTACATGCCGACTGATGTTGAAATGATACCACCTAAATAATGGATAATATAATTATACACTTCTATGTGCACTTGAATTGTTATTTGCATAAACACACACACACGCACATACATACACATACATGTATACAACTTAACTCATTGTATGATGTTTTTTTTTATAAAAGAATACAAGTTAACATTAGAAACTGTAATGAGTAAGACTATACCATAAAAGACGGCTGGAATTATAACAGTTAGTCTACACGGTTTATTCAAAGCTCTACAAATACCTACTATCTATTACACATGCAGTTGATGGAGTATGGTATTGTACACAATATAGTTGTAAGCATTGAAGGCTTCCTGCTCATACTACATGTAGTAAAAGTCATAGCATTATACTAAAAAAAACATTATTCCTTCGTACGGTATGCTGTCCATGTCAGAGGGTCTGTGAGGATTGATTCCATCTCCAGTTTGGATTGAGTATGAAGCATCTAACGGGGGCCGTAAAGGCGGAGAGCTAGCGTAGGATGCTGTGGAGATAACTGAAGTAGGTCGTCCTTCAGGATTGCTTGACAAACTAGCCATTTCAGACTTAAGACTTTCAGTCGACTTTTCCTTCAGAGCGTATAAACACAATAATCATCAGATGAATATCTATTTCTATAAAACCACACCTATTCCAGTTAATTGGGCCACACCTCATTACCTCACAAGAGTCCATTAATGGACTCTTGTTATTATTATCAAGATTATGTACTCTTGTTATTATGCATACATAATGCATTTGCAAATGTGTATAAAAAGAAAAGGCATTAATGATTTGGAGCTATTTTTTAAAAGGTCCCAAATCTTTTTTTACATTAAAAATGTTCATAATTTCAGAATTTGTTCTCAGAATTGGCTCAAACTTGCTACATAGCATAAGAACATCAATATGTATCATAATATGTAATAAAAATGAGGGGCAATTTTGGAGCCGTTTTTTTTTGAAAAAAGCATGGGCTATAGTACAGGGTATTTTTCAGGAATTGGCTTATTTTTAAAATGATCATAACTCAAAAAATTGAAGTCAGAATCAGCTCAAACTTTCTACATAGCATAAGGACATCAATATGTATCAGAAAATGTAATAAAAATTTGGGGTAATTTTGGAGCTACTTTTTGGAAAAATTCATGGGCTATAGTTTTATACAGGGCATGTTTCAGAAATTGGTTTATTTTAATACTCCAAGGATAGGAAATTCTTTTTATTGCTAAAACAAATTTTATCAACAATCATTCTTAATGTGATAAATAAAATTATATTACATATAACATTATAATTGAAATTACTAAAAGTTACCAACACCAGCAATGACTCTAATCTCTTCATAAACTAGCCAGAAAGTTAAAGACCAAGGTGCCTATATGGCATATATGAGTGAGAAAATGGCTACAGATTTGTAACTAGCTCTCTCTTACCATTCTTGACCAAGTTGGCACAAAACCTTTCCATAGGGCAGGGACCCCTTCTGCTTTTACCTACATAATCACATCATAAAAAATAAACCATATTCAAGTGATTACCGTTTTCAATAAACAATCAAATGTTGATGAGTATAAAGTGCCCCGCCCATTTATATATGGCTGGTTCATCATTCTTGTCTTCATGACGTCGGCCGGAGTGCCTAAAATAGCTGACACTAGCCCTGAAGTAAAACTAAAAAGAAAGCAATTAAAACTCTTTAAAAATGTCCATCAGAGTACCTTGATAAAGAATGCGTTATAGCATTATCCTTTAAACTAGTGTTACGAAGTATAGACTGCTTAGCAGTGTCGTATGTAGTAAGATCTATTAAGAATCTATTAGCTTATCATCATGCCTACAATGCTGGATTGTCTGTATGCAGTAAATAGCTCCTAACCTCCTAAGCAGACTATGGCTGCTCTCTGACAGTTTGGTATCCAGCCTCTCCACAGTCCACGGAATCCATCTTCTTTCAGTATAATCCGAAGCACATCAATGGATCCTTTGTATCTGAATTATACAATTAATGTAAATTCAAAATGAAGTTCCACCCCCTCACTTTATTGGTTTGCCTTCTAGTACTTTCTTTCCTTCAGCTTGTAGTATGATCTTTACAAGGTCAGTTGGGCTTGCAAGAAACTGTGCACTAGCTCCAGCAATCATTCCGGTTGGTATAGCTTTCCTTTTATAATGTCATGTATGCCCATTAAGTCAATGATAAATTATTTTCTCTTCATACCATAATGGGAATTTCCCAGTGGTGCTGTCTTTCTTGAAAACAGAGTCTCTTAGTATTTCATAAAAGGACATCCTACAGCCGGAATAAACTAAAAATATAAACAAAACAAAAATATATAACAAATAAGTGTTTAATCATGTGCTCATTTCTAATGTGTAAAAGAAGCCAGTCTGCTTGTAAATAGACCATTCGGTACTACTATACATTGCTTCCTTCCTTTTGGCATTCGAGCCAAAAATCAACTTCGACTAGCCAATATAACTAGCTAACAAATCTCATTTTCAATATCAGTGAGAGAATCATCACATTAATCATGGCCACCTTCTCTGGAAGACTCAAAAGAGCACTGCTCTGCACTGGAGGAGAGACAAATGAAGGGGCTGGGAATGGAGCTAGCTCAGAGTCAGGGAGTATGGCCACTCGCCAGAAAAAACAAACTATAAGCCAAGACATGATTCGGAATATACTAGTCCTTCCTTTGCTGCCTACGTGTAAGAGCATCTCATCTTGCAGCATGATAGTGAACCACATCTTGAAGGAAGAGAGACTCGAAACACAAGACATAAAGGCCTCGTTTGCAGTCGGACTACCAAACTGTGAAACCACACATGGGAACAAAACCTACTCGTTCAACATTGCAACAATAGTTGGTGGAGGTAGGATAAATATACGCGAGATAATAAAAGATGCTGCAGATACTGTTCCAAGATACGCAAAAGGACTACACTTGATAATATTTGTCGTTCTTGCCTCTTCTCTGATCGATGATGAAGGCAGCATTTTTGATCCAGAGAGGTACAGGTTTTCGATGATATCTTCACTGACAGATGATATGTCATTTTGTGCTGAAGGTATTAAAAGAACAGAATACACAACTCAACACTTTCCACGAATAGTCCAGTCGATATCGCTACTGGCTATCATTAAAGACGACGAGAGCGATGATATTGAAAAAACGATTTATAATTTTCAAAATAACAGCGATTCGTATGAAATGAAGAAGGGAATAATACCAGTCTCTTTTACTGAGGATGATTTTAAGCTGGCTGGAACTGCAAAAAAGACTTGTGACGAAAGAACAAAAGAAGACGAAGCAAAACTACTTAATGTAATATGTTATCAATGCAAAAATATCGTATCTTGTAAAAAGGTCTTTCACACTACTTAATTATTTAAAATTAATCATTTTAAATTAATCAATTAATAATAATAATAATAATAATAATAATAATAATAATAATAATCATCATCATCATCATCATCATCATAGTAAACAATTAGTTTACCTGCATGACGGACAACAGCTGGTTGAAGACCTTTCCATAATTTAAAGAAACCTTCACCTCTGACTACAAAAAGATTGATTCATTTAGCTATGATTCCACAGATACATAATTAGCCATCAACTATTTTTTTGCAAAAAAACTATCACATTATACTAGAGCCTTACCTATTTCATAAGCCGTTCTGAGCATTCCTTTATATGCAGTCGTCTTTTGGAGTTCGCCTTGTATCTGTAATCTTGTTTTCGTTAAATCAAGAGGAAACGTTACTGAAATGGAAACAATTTTACATTATACAAAGTGTAGGTTAGATTCTTGTTTGTAAATCTAATTTTAATGAGGTCGCAGAGCCAAAATACTAGTTGCTTTTAGAGGCTAGGTGTTTTTCTAAGGCTGGTTGCTTGGATAATTAGGATAAATTTGGCTGGTTGCTGTAGTGTACCCTACTACCCTTGCGTAACTCTGGTACACATTACACTAGAGGTTTGATTTACGTACAATTGCTATGGACTGGCTAGTTTTAATGCTAGAAAACCTTTAGACCCTCAATGAACAAACCTGTTTCTGAAACTCCGGCCGCCATAATGGTGAGGAGATATTTCCACAAGAAGTCCTCCATGCTTGAAATAGGGTGTGGCTCAAAATCAATTACATCTAATTTTGACATCAATACACAAAAAATTTATGATTTTTGGCATGCTATGAATATTGGTACTGCAGGAAAGGTCACAACTGAAGTAAACATGGCCTCAGATCAGGTAGCCTGAAATCACCTGACCAACATTTTAAGCACATGATACGCGATGCTGCTATAGTACCAAGGTGTGGCACAATAGCAACCAATTCTACAGGCTACTGAGTTATCCTGCATTCTGCAAAGACAAGGACACGGTTCACTCAAAGGCTGAGCAGAGCTAATTTACTGTTATTTACACCTTGAGCTTAATACAAAATGGAGCAGGTCCAGCTGGCACTGCAGTATCCTCGTGGCCTGTGGAACACTCTCACCATCATAGAGAGCAAGTTTGACGAGACCCGGTGCTTAACGTGGATGTCTCAAAACTGGTGGCTATGCTTTCTGTTCTCTGTCATCTACGTTGGGCTGGTCTTTGGTGGAAAAGCTCTCATGGAGAAACGGCATCCTTGGGCCCTCCGCTATGCACTCTGTATGTGGAGCACTGGCCTAGCTGCATTCAGCTTGTATGCCTGCATGAGGATATACCCAAGGTTCTTAAACTTGCTAAGATTGGGCGGATTTGAATACACAGTCTGTGACATGATGTACATTGTTGGATCGAGGGAGATGGGAATATGGGCATGGCTGTTCCCCCTCTCCAAGCTCCCTGAGCTTTTTGACACATTCTTCATAATCGTACGCAAGTCAAAGCTATCCTTCCTCCACTGGTACCACCACTTCTCTGTCTTCATCTATTGTTGGTATAGCTATGCGTACCCCATATCCACAGGAGTTTGGTTCGGGACTGTCAATTACACAGTCCATGCCATCATGTACATGTACTATGCTGCAAAGGCAAGCGGGAGGAATCCGCCACGCTGGATAGCTAGGGCAATAACAACTCTTCAACTCTCTCAAATGTTTGTGGGTCTGTTCCTCAATTTCACGGCAATACGAGCAGTCACACTAGGGAAGGTGTGCAGGATGGATTGGTTCACAGTCGGTATATCGGTCTTCTTCTACAGTAGCTATGCTGTCCTCTTTGCTAACTTTTACTACTGGACGTACTTGCGAAAGAAGAAGTCGCCACAAAGCAGTGGTGATGGCAAACCCACGGCTCTACCTAACATGTCAAAGCTCAACGGACACACGGGAAGCAATGGCAGCATATCCAACGGAAAGTATTAGAGAGTAAAATTAAATATTTTATTTAGCAACGATTATGTGTCTGTTTTTGTTATTATTATTATTATAACTACTATTTATATTATCATGTTCAGACAAAGACGCATACACTTTACAACATATTAGGTAGAAAAAATCCATTGAAATTATTTACATAGTTTAAAAAACATTAATCTTGTTTCTTTTCTGAGTCTGCAGTCCATCGTCCATCGTCAAAACAAACTAAGAAATAGAACAATGTTTAGCATTAATACACATTGTGTATAATAAGGCAATGATAGTTTACACAAATACAAACACTTGACCTTAAGTGATTGACAGATGCTTCAAAAGGTCACAAAATGAGCTGGTGTGCATGTACATTGTAGCTATGCACTTACTAAAAATGTAAAGAAAAGTGCTACTGCAGATACAAAGTGCCATAAGTCGTGAGTGTCATAGAAATCTAAAATTATGCAGTCTCTGTTGAACTCTCTTGACTGTGCTGGTGGCACCTATAAAGAAATTAATTAGACTATAATGCTAATGCAGAATATTATTGAGAGCCAGTGGTGTGTGTGTGTGCGTGTGTGAAACTGGAAACCATTTGTTGATTTTAATGTACAAAGTGATAACTCATTTGTGTGTGTGTGTGTATGGTCTGGCTAAATTCAGAGAAAGGAAACTACTCACTTCTCTCCTTGCTGTGACATCCAATAGTAAGTAGAATCCAAACAACCAGCTAACGCTGAGAGCAACCAAAGACACTAGCGACATTAGTGTCCATGGCTCCTTAAACCAGAGCTATATAAAGAATGCAACAAACAAGCTATCAATATCTGCTATGATGACTTTTACCTTAGAGAGAAGATAGAGTGCTGTGTATAATAGGAAGTTAGCTATAAAGAGGGCAAGGACCACGACAGCAACCTCTTTGTGTGAGACTGATATTATAATTAGACCACTAAACACAAACATAATGATAAACTATCTACCAAGGAGTAAGTGATAATGCTTACAGTACAAAATTCCCAACAACAGCTACAATTACTTTAGTGAAACGACCCTATATTAACAAGGAACCAATGTTAGATAATGTACACCTTTATTTTGTTACACACACACACACACACACACATTACTACACACCATATGTCTTGGCTTTAAAGAGTCACATTTGTTACTCACTAAACACCAGCCTTTGTACCATTGCCATATTTCCTTGTAAGTTCCACAATCTACAACAAATAATAATAATAAATACAAAATTAAACTTTCACCTACCTATCCAGTCGCTCATATGCCAGTCATGATAGAAGTAGAACGAGAGCCATATTAGAGTTATAGTAAAGAGAACTAAACAGACTAGTATCACCCTCACTGACCAGTACAAAATAGTGTCCTCATGCTAAAGACAGTGAGAAAGAATGATGCAAAATTATGCATGACATTTTATTTTATTTAAATAAGAACAGTGCTGCACTTACTATGCCAACTAGAGTCAGGAAAATGACAATGGCAAAGCATAAAAATGCAACAAAAGCATTTGCGTGTATGTCTGGATGCCTTGTCTGGAATATCTTAACAATCAATAGGCCACTTATGATATACATGAAAGCAGAATCTATATGTATCAAGAAAAAGCACACATGGTCATAATGACTGAAATTCTTCTCTTTTCTTACCAAATTGAAAATCTTCGAAACTAGGACAAATGTGATAGCAAGAGCTCATGAATCCTTCAAGAATCAGCGCAATGCCTGAGAAAATTTGAGAGAAAGAAAGAGATAATTTTTTGGTGATGCTGTTGGTAAGACTTACCAAGTGCATAATAGATACCGAAAAAGTGTGGAATACCATAATTCTAAAAATTTGAATAATAATTTTTTATAACACTTCATAAAACTCACAAAGTATAGATCTGGTTGCTTTAGTCTCAATTGTCTGGCCTTGTAATGCCTGATAAGGAATAACATGTATAATGTATCGGAAATTTTACAAGAATATTACAAACGTTACTATTTATAGTATTAGTATTATACTCACTTAATAGCAATTATCAATATGAATATCAATCCAAGTATAACATAGCCAAGATTACTCCATACACTATTGAAGGCACTAACAATGAGAAATGAACAATAAGAGAGATCAAGGCAATATAAGTACTAAAAATAATAAAAATAATTTACTCAAGACTTCCAAGTGGCCTGGAACATTTGAAATTAAAATAGCAGGTGTCTTGATTACCGCTAGCACGAAATATCTATTGTAAAAAAATTATTATTATAATATATATGTGTTTCTTAATGGTCTTGTACCAGCTCTCCAGTCAGTACAAACTGGAATGCAGGCAATCCATAAAATATTCCAACAGTGACAGTATTCCTAGAGAGTGCAGAGAAAGAAAAAGTGATGTTTGATGGCATGAAATCTCACCATGCATATACTGAATATTGCTTCTCTAGTACATCGTATTCAGTATTTAGTAAATCTGTTATCTTGATGGACTTCTCTTTCTACAAACAAAAAGTCATCAATGATAAATGATGTGAGTCTCAAATTTAACATTACTCTGTCAAGAAGTTTCTTTTGCTTGTGTTTTGAAGCTAAAAGAAATTAATAATATATAAGTAAGTGTATGATGAAGCTGGGTTTTCCACATCGTGCTTAGATACTTGTCAGCAAATTTTAAAGTTGCTCTAAAGTCTGGTCAAGGGTATATTGTCAAAAATGGCAAAAAGAAAATTCCAAATTTTTATATTTTCTTCTGATGCATATTGAAGTATTTATGTTGTGTAGAAAGTTTGAACAGATTTTGATCAAAATTGGATTTTTAATGAATTTTTAAAGTTGCTCCAAAATCAGGCCAAAGTCCCTGTACTACAGTACATGGTCTCGGGCCAAATTTTGACAAAAATGACTAGGAGAAAATTTTTCATTTTTATAATTTTTTCTGATGCATATACATGTACTTATGTTGTGTATCAAGTTTGAGCTGATTACGATCAAATTTGGATTTTTTTTACAAATTTTTAAAGCTGTTCAAAAGCCACATGTGCTTGTCAACTCATGAAGTATGCATGCATGCTTAGTGGAAACCCTGTGTGCATGAATGTGATAATGATTACTGAATTTGCCATTATTTAAACTGTGAGTCACTTCAATAAGTTCATGTGAAGAGTCACTTTCATCATCATCATTTTCAGTCAATTCTGCTGCTGTTAAAAAAAATATTATAATAATGAATAAAATCCATTCTTAAGTGGATGGAAATTATTATTACTTTCATTTTCTTTTATTGGAGAATTACAGGTAGGTCTAGAGATACTCACATCACATGACTTCCGTCCACATACAAATGGATTCCAAATGCTATAAGGGAAAGTTATGAATGCAAAACATAAAATGACATTATGTAATAACTTTAGCTTTAAATATAATAGGCAGCACCTCTTATATGGAGTATACAATATAGAATTAATTAATCGAACAAATAATTCAGTTTAATAGTCATTATCAGCTTACATGTGACAACAAGGAAATGAAACAAGGCAAGTCATGATGAGTCCAAAAGTTACAAAGGCTATAAATGGAAGGGCCAATGCAAACCTATACTCCAGAGCTAAATAAAAAAGAAAAAATTCAATACTAAAATATTAATTTTTCATTGGTTAAATAAAATTTAGCTTAAATAATAATACTTTTACCAACTGTCACATTTTAGAATCAATTAGGGAGAAACTACCTATACATGTACACAGGTTAAGCACATTCCTCCCTGAATTAACATGCTTGCAAGTACATTCTTTCCCCTTATATACGCATAAAAACAAGTAAACCAATAGGAACAACAAAATCAAATACTTAGCAGTATAACATAATAAGGAATGCTCACATCTTTGATCATTCACTACTCACCAGGTTTCTGTGTCTCAACAACAAGTTGGATGTCTTGATATGATGGAGTCTGAAAGTGCTCATCTGCCATGAAACAATGACTGGGATCTGTCATTGCTATCACTATGAACAGGCCATAGTCTGAGGTTGTCTGATGCTGTGTAGAGACATGATATGAATGAAGAGAGAGAGAGGGATGAAGAGAAAGGAATGAAGAGAGAGAGAACAAAGAGGACTAACCTCGTCAATAGAAATAACTGAATCAGTTGTCATTGTCTGATATATAGAGAGGGATCTCATTTCTGGTTCTATATCGCTGAATGGACACTGTGTAATGAATAAAGACATTATATTATTGAATAATGATTGATAGGTGCATGCATCATTAAATGAGATAATAAACTCATTCAATAAGCATAATTCCTATGGACAGAATAATAGTAGTACAACAACTATAAGCCAATTCTATACTACAAGAAGCACAATAGAGACCTTATTGAACATCAGACACATATACTGTGTGTAGGTGCGTGTGATAAATGGCTTACTGAAGCGTTCTGTACAGAAACTATAGCACAACTGTTTGTTGTATTGGAAGTGACTACGACTTGGACATCACTAGAACCAGTTGGAAACTTAAAGAACCTCACCTGAGAGAGAGAGAGAGAGAGAGAGAGAGTAATCGACAAAAAGACGGTCTCTAAATTTACCTGAGGCTCATTTGGATGGATGCGAAATTCAATCTTCTGGTTTATCCTAATATGAAAGTTATTATTTTATCTTATCTTAAATCAATAATAACTTGTGGGGGAAGACTGGGTGGGCTATGCTATTATCCTGGGCTGGGCAATGATATATTAATTTTAGCATCATAGTTTTGTCTATGCTATTCACAATAACATAATGGATTTGGCTTATCCTTAAAAACTCACTCGAGAACAAAATCGTCAATTGGCTCAATTTTGGCGCCATAAGATACAGTGGTCTTGCTGCTAGTAAATGTATCAATGAATATGACATCAGTTACATTAGGAGATGGGACTTGACATAAAGTATGATATGAATAATTATACACATTACTGTAGAGAGAGAGAGAGAGAGAAAGAACAAAAACAAGGAAGTTAGGGTATAATAACTAACTCTACTCTTTTCCTCCTACACTCGTATATAACATACTTGTGTTTCACTAGAGGTAGCTTCCATGTTTGAACATTATTGCTGTCTCTTGCCACAAACACTAATGGGTCTTCAACAGTGGCATTATGTGAGGTTGTCTTTACACGGAAAAACTATCACAATTACAATAAGCAATAAAAAATATAGAAGAAGGGAAACTATAGTAGCATAAGCTCAGCTTATTATTTTAGAATACACAAACATCATGATCATGGCGAAATTGAAAGTCTTAATACTATGAGTAACAAAAACCGACTAAAACCGTCCCGCTTTCAGACACTTAAGGTCAGTCTCATCAGAGGCGATAACATGATTGTACACAGAAAATGTTAACACGTTAAAAGTGCTACAAGCATTTATACAAGCCCCAAATTAATCTATGATTATCACTAAACATAGACGAGGGACTAACTGTTTCTCTTTTCCGGGTATTGTCACATTCAGTAAAGTTTTCCTGGAGCACCAAGAGGTCCATATCGAGTCTCTTGACAGATCCAGGCTCTTCAACGCATGGTTTCACGTCAATAACTTGCACGCCAGCTCCTGACCCCAAATCAAGATCCATGAACATCTCGGAGCGTACCAGATGGATTTGAGTCGTAGTAAGTGATAATAGTATCACAGAGAAGAGAACTGGCAGTGGCATGCTTGAAGAGTCTTATCTTCCTACTACATGAAAATCATTCATTCCCTAAAATTTCCCTTAACTTATAATAAATAATTTACAGTTAATAATCAATTGCTTCCTGTTGTAAGGCTTCAATTTAGCTTAGCAAGAGGCTGCTGTTTAGTTTGGCACTCAGCATAATTAGGACAGTAAGCAGTAAACTATCCACTGAATCCTATGCAGCATAGGTACAGACTAGCAACTAGAAATTCTTTTCATACTCTATCACACACAATTTTTTTAATTTTCTTTATTGATTTGGTGCTCTTATGCCAAAGCATAGTCAATATAATTGCTCACTAAATTTAGCTTCAAAAATGATTCTGAAAAAGAAAAGAAAACTTGCATGTGAGACCTTAGATAGACCATAGGATGAGTTTTTCGCGGCAAAATTTCGCGCTGTGACGTCAGAGGTGTGGCCATTTTTGCAAACCACTCCTCCTGATCCTTTTAGTTTTCTGCCTACTTTTCAGTTTTTTGGTTTTGTGGCCTTTTGACCCTGTTACATTACACAATAATGTCTCAAACTTGGAGTCATGGTCTGTTTGGATGCTTCTCCGACATTGGATTGTGTAAGAAAGTTCTTATTAGACTGAGTAGTTTAATTTATTAAAAATGATAACTATAAGCCTCTTTGTGCATGACAGCCATTTCCTGTAAATAAAATGCTAACTAATAAAATATGGGATATGAGGTACCATTCCTTCTGTTCGTTGTTTGGTTTCATAATCAATTTTAATCTAATTTGCCTACATTTATTTTTCAGCAATTATCGCAAGTTATTGGTTTTATAATCATTGCTTTAGTTTCTATTTCATTGAAATGTACATTCAATGTACCGGTACCAGTATGTGTATGTACACTACATTAGTTTCATTATCAACAGCTGCTTCAAAGCCGAGGCTTCAGCTTATATCTGTGTGGGTGGCAAATTTATTTTGCAGATTTCCTTTGCAAAAGATGCTAATTAATAATAGTGTGAACGTAAGTGCTAACGAGTCATTATTTTCATTGAATAGGTCTTGTTACATTTTTGGTCCCTTGCTACACTAATGGTCGCAATGCAGAGGCCACTGGTGAGAGCTGCATAATGCACGCCATATACTTCCTTATACCTTTGGTTGGGTTTTATTGTCACGCAACCACTCGTGGGAAAATAAGAGAAAAGAAGAACATTGACGTGAGTTAACACACACACACACACACAGACATGTTAACAGTAATGCGAGTTTGGTTGATATACATGTCTTATTCTACTATCAAGAGTAGATAATAATTAGAGGAGAGTGTCCTACTGTGCAATACCCCCTGCTTCATCACGGTGTAGAATTGAAGAGTCACATTCAGGATATTTTCAGCATTTTTGAGTAGTTATTCGAAAATAACTAGCAATAACTATAACTACTCAATAAAAATACGGAAGTATCCTGAATGTGACTCTTCAATTCTATGCTGTGATGAAGCGGGGGGTATATGCACAGTAGGACACTCTCTTCTAATTATTATCTACTCTTGCTACTATATATGTATATCATCCACTCTTGATATCGGTGTAGGGTACATTTTTCAATGATCTGCTATGTTCTATCTGCTGTGCATATTGTGCACTGATACAAGAAGGGCAAGAGCTCTCACCGTCAAGTTTTTCAATGGCCAGAGAATAGAGTCCATAAAGACATGCACACACAGTAACATTGAACTCTCAGTGATACATGCTGTATGTATACTAACAGAATGTTGGGATTTTATTTTTTTGTGTGTGTGTGTGTTATTTTGGTGTTTTATTGCTTTTATTGATTTGTATAGCTATTTGCAATAATAAAAATAATAATAGTAATGATAATAATAATAATAATAATAATAATAATAATCTTCCTCCATCTCCCCCTGGGTTTTTTGTCTGTTTGTTTATTTGGTTTCTTTGTCTTATAATAATAATAATAATAATAATAATAATAATTGTGTATCAGTGGATGGTTTAATGGGTAAAGAGTGCACAAAATTCATCCAGCACCTCGCAGACCGTCTTTCTCTAGCTTGGCATCGAGATTATAGTACCACCATAAACTGGATTTGCACAAGATTATTATTTGCCATCATTCGGGCCACCATCCTCTGTCTCAAAGGCTCTCGTACTAAGTGGCGGTCAGTCAACATCTCTGATGGCTCCCCTCTAGACTTTATCATGTCCTAACCCACTCAAATATATTTATTATAATTATTATTCTAACTTTTCTTTTATTCTTAAATTTCATATTTTTCTACATCTAAGTGTATGCATTTCAACCTGTTCTATTTCTAACTATTGTACTTTTTAATAATAATAATAATAATAATAATAATAATAATAATAATAATACAGGGCTTTTAATTTGGATTGTTAATTTTATTGGCCTCAAAATTCCTTACTGCATAGGAAATGAAATAATCAGTCGATAAAGTCATCATTAAAATGTTATAATTTTATCATATTCAATGGTTAGTTAAAGCACACACACAAACTATGTAAGTGATTGCTAGTCTAAATATATATATACACATACATCCTGCATACGTACACTCTTTAAATTAGAAAAATATTTTGATATGAAATTAAACACTATAGGACACAATATGTCCCTGTTCCTATTCACGGAGCATATACAATCCTGTTGGAGTTTCCTGTACTTCCTATAAGAAAAAATAACAATATTATAAACAGATAAATAAATAATTAAATAAAGAGAAATGGAATGGAATGCAATTCTGTAGTGGCACTTTGCTATGTAAGCTACTACAGTGATAAGCCAGCTCTCTGTCACATTTAAAAGAGACTTGCGGGCTATAGTTTATCTCTGATCCTTGAACTATATAGAAGAGATGATGATTAACATTATAGCTATAATAGCAATGGCTTATGCTTACAATAAACACTACACAACATGCATTTATCTTCAAAGGATCATCACTTTATTTATAATAGTAATTATTCCCATGCTGAATACAAGCTGTTCATGAATAGTAAGATGACTTTTGGCAGCTACACAAAAAGATAGCTTTATTGTATTACAACTAAACTATAAGGGAGATCTCCTGTGCCAATGACATCACGCTAGTCTATGTAATTTATTAGGACAGCCCTGATACATTCCAGTGTATAAAAACAGGTTGACATAAAAGGGCAAGACCCTCATACCAAATAACACACAAAAATTCACTTCAATAAAACTTCTGAGACTAATCCAATTACTAATCAATGAATCCAGTCAGAGAGACTTCATAAACCAATAAATTGATTATAATGTATCTTACATTCAAAATAATTATGTAACATTGTAAGTATGTATACAAGTTTGGGTTGGTGTTATATGTAATAGACTAATATCACAGTGACATATCCATACCAATGACTGTGTGTGTGTTTATCATAAGCCAATCATGCCTAATTTAATGCACATAATATCATTCTGGTATTTTAGTTTGGCATACAGTGTTTCGTCAATGATATTACCACGCCATAAATACAGACCACACACTTTATCAATTAGTATTTACGCCCGAGTAGGTGTAGCTACTGTGTGGGTAGTAGACAGTGCTAAACGAAGTAGAACTAATTAGCCTTTATTATTGATGTATGTGTGTGCTTTGATTACTCATACACGCGCACCACTAATGCAAGCATTCACGGAAAATCAATTCTAGTGGCATGACATAATCTGCCATTATAGATTAGTGAGTAATTTTATCATTCACCACAAGTTCACAGCTATATGCTTAGTGAACTTCACGAAGAGCTTTCTTGGGCCTATTTAAGCTAGACACTCTAAATGCTATTAGCTATAATGTTTGTTCCAATTGAAGCCATGTGAATCAAAGGATAACAACTTAATTAGAACTAAGGATCTTAGATCTGTAAATTTACTTACCCTAGCAGCTTGAGTAAGGGCACAGAATGGGAAACACAATGTGCACAGAACATCACTACAGCAAGTTCCCTATATAACAAAAAAGACTTGATCATGTTTGCCAAGGGAGTAAAAATGTTTTTAGTAGCACTAATAATTTAAGCCCACAAATATTCAATTTAGCTTAATTACTATACCACACTACGTGTAGGTATGTACAAATATCATTATTTAAGTACATGTATGCATAAGAAGGAAATCCTATTTGAAGGGCATTATCTATTATACTTTAATGCTACATATTATGTTAATCAAATAATGCACCAGCTGCTGTACTTGAGTAAGCATACCTTATATCATAGGCAATAGCAATAGTAAGCAATTGAAATCATTACAATACCCTGGCAGCTGTCATTTTTGAAACTATTTGTGTGTGTATACAAGTGATTGGTATGCACTATTAAGAGATAGTGTTATCAATAGTGTACTCACATCAATGCCCTTTTGTGCCCTTATTCTGCTACGAATGGCCACAGAGCACCAGAAGTTTATGAATGGAATAAACGAAAGGCAGCAATAAAGACAGCATCTCTCGCCAACTGCCTCGGCGTTCTTTCCGATCACGTAGCATGGGCAGAAGAAAGATAGCAAACCTATTGTGTAGTATAACTAGTATAACTACAATGAACAACCACTGTGGGTATATATGCTACTGGGGAATTAAGCTCATGGGCTATAGATATATTCCATACTTATTAATGGGATTTTATTCAACTAGGCAACATTATGATAATAAGTTGGTAACAATGCATGATGATAATAATCAATAACAATAATAATAATATTATTATTATTTCATTATTAAGTGATAATGTGTCATAATTCACATTGATTCTATCAACCATAGATCTATGTATCAACTTACAAATAGAGCAGTCTCCAAAGCATCCAAAAATCCCATGTTTCCAGTCTCTAGACATCACTGCACTCTATCTCATACAGATAAAATCAAGTTACATTAATAGATCCAATTTATTCATCTACAATAATGCTAAACACACCCACTTTTTTCAAAGAAACCTAATAATAATTATTTATTACCATCAAAAAACCACAAATCAATAGATCAATATAAGCCTTAATAAAGAAAAAAACAGTATACTAATTATAATTTTAGAGATTGAGTTTGATTCTTGAGTTAAGAAAATGATTGAGTTCAAAAATGATTGAGTTCAAAAATGCTTGAGTTCAAAAATGCTTGAGTTAAGAAAATGAATGCTGTTCATTCACGAGCCATGGTCTGATTTCCAGCACCTTTCAATTCCTATAAACACAGAGAGAGAGAGAGAATAAGGAAGCCAATCAAGACTAATTTACTTGTCCCTCCTGAGCAAGAGAGCATTCATAGCAACACCAAGAGCAGAGCAAGTCGTTGAAGCAAGAGCCATCAATTCCCTTCTGCTCCCTGATCTTTCCTCTGATGGTGACACGGCAGTAGAGGTTGAGGAGGGGTACAAACTGAGAGAGAGCATAGAGGAGGCAGCTCTCTCCTAGTGCCTCTGCATTACGACCGAACTGGATGCAAGGGCAGATGAACGACAGAAGACCTGCAAAAGCGGGTAAAAATTAGACAAAACAAGGGGCATTGTTTTTTTCTCACAAGTTGTACAGTCTCCAAAGCAACCACAGATCCCATTACTCCAATCAGCCATTACTGCAAAAAGATTATTATTAGCAATATATAAACGAACCAAACAGAAGCAAGACAAAAACAGCAAGAGCGAGCTAGAACAACAAATGTGGGCGCGGTTCGTATCAATTATCATCAAAATTCATCATCATTAATAAAATTTTACATTAAGTTCTATTTATAGCAGCAACTAAATTTGGCAACAATGTCTCGAACCAAATAAGGAAACTGTTCCACCATTTTTACTCCCTGGCCATTGGTTGACCCCCAGGGGCTAGAATCTCCTACAAGATGAGAAATTGGAATGCATATGCACATAGCACTATTCATTTCTTACCTGACCCTCCTGAGCTAAGGCACATCGCATACAAAATAAGTGACAAAGGAGGTCATTAAAGCATGTCCCATCGATGCCTTTCTGATTTCTTATCTTTCCTCTGACCACTGTACGGCAATAGATATTAAGGAGAGGGACTAGCTGGGAGAGACCATACATCAAGCAATTCTCTCCTACAGTCTCAGCATTGCGTCCAAACTGAACACATGGCAAGAAGAAAGACAAAAGACCTATAGAGAGTAGAAAGAATAGCTTAAAACTGGTTTTAAATGGGCCTACAGGTTGTGACGTCTCCAAAACAGCCGCAAATTCCGTTTGACCACTGGCTCATCTTGAGTTCTTGGATTGTAAGTAGAGCTACTCTTAAGTTACCTGACACTTAAGGCAATTGTGAACGTGCAACGTGCTTTGCACAAAAAGTGGGCCGCTTTTGCAATCCGCAGTTAGGGGGCGGTCAGCACATTCTTATCATCCTGTATGAATAACCTTGAGCAGAGGTCAACTCGTCTCAAGAGATGAATATTAGATCAGGGATCACCGCAGCTAGAGCAAAATCTAGGCGAGACCACACAAGTGCTGCTGCAAAATCAACTTCAAAACTCATTACAACTATAACAATAATAATAATAAAATCTCGGCAAAATCAGTTAAAACATAGCTATAGTATCTTTTAAAACTTAAAGGTAGAGGGTACAACTAAAGAGTTTTATCAGTTATTCACGGCTCATGGATTTGCTTCCTGGATCAGCGAGTTCCTAAAAAGCAAAGAGAGGGTCAGGTAATTGCGTTTGCAGGTGCTACATAGCAACGTGCTAACAGCTATTTGACACTTACCTGAGCTTCTTGTGCCAGGGCGCACGGACCACAGCACCAAGAGCACAGCAAGTCGTTGAAGCAAGAGCCCTCGATTCCCTTCTGCTCCCTGATCTTTCCTCTGATGGTGACACGGCAGTAGAGGTTGAGGAGGGGTACAAACTGAGAGAGAGCATACATAACGCAGCTCTCTCCTAGTGCCTCTGCATTACGTCCAAACTGGATGCAAGGGCACATAAATGAAAGGAGGCCTGCAGAGAGGGGGAGATGGTTATAATAGCTGCGGTTTGTTTTCTTTTGACAACTTACATGTGCAGCAGTCGCCGAAGCAGCCACAGATTCCGTTTTGCCACTCACCCATTTCTTTTTACTAGTTAACTAGAAGTTAAAGACAGAGAAAAGCACAGAAGACAGAGAGCAAATCTACTTGCAGGGCTAACACCACAAATGCGATCGACGGAAGTAAGACGCGGTTTTTAAAATTGGCCGCGTAACGATATTCATAATGCTGTAATTGCATTTTTGTGTTGACCGACACACGCCCATCAAGTGGCTAATTGCTGCGTGGTCATCATGAGTATGGTGAGGAATGAATGAGTAAGCGTGTCAGACTGTCAAACACAACTGATGATAGAGATAGGAAGCTTTTACAATAGCTATTACTCCAATCTGTGTGACTCCCACTATTTCTCACTACTGAAAGACTATAGAGCATCCCAATGTAAATTCATCTATTACTGATGTTGCAGATATACAGCACATAAGAGAGATTGATTGATGTTCATAGCCTACCTAGAGTGTCACCCTTTGCCATGCAAATTCAAAAAATGATATAAGTATACGGTGATCAACCAAGTGATCAACCAACATAACATTCGTGAACTAAAATTAACACAGTAATAATAATAATTAATAATAATAATAATTAAGTAATAATAATAATAATAATAATAATAATAATAATAATAATAATAATAATACCATTTGTTTAATAATAATAATAATAATAACAGTCACCTAGCAGAGTTTTAAGTGAAAAGGCTGTCCACAGCAGCTTCTAAATTCCATGAATGAGTCGACAGTGCTTCCCGCGCTTTGGTCTGTCAAAAATGAAAATTGTCATCATTAAATTAACAAGATCTACATAGCATAGATAGTCTCTTTTATGCATATAAAAACAACAGGTAATACAAGAGCAAGATTAAATTAAAATTGGGAGATTTCACAACAGTTGACATTCTCTACATTAAACAGCTTACATTCACAAGTGAACACAAAATGTTCTCAAAAGGTTTCCAGGTGATTACCATGTACTGGACAAGATGATTACACAATGTGTACAAATGAAGAGCAGGAATGAATTAAGAGTGCAATGGGCCTCAGTCTCACTATAATGTCTGGATTAGACATCAGAGACACGCACAAATCATAGCTAAAGACATAAAAAATGCTCTCAAAAACCAACACTGATTGTTTGGCTTCCAAAAAACATTAAAGAGGGCATCAAGAGGACACTCTTGAGGGCATATAATGCAAGTAGGCACAAACTTCATTCATTAAATTTAAAGGTCAGTGTCTCCGGAGAGTGTGAATAGCGGCTGTACTACTACTACACAAACTCAGGATATATAACCCACAATTAAATAACCAAACAAGGAATTGCAGCCTTCTCAGTTATCTTAAGGCTACAAGGCTACAACTATCAGCAGCAGCAGCAGCAGCAGGGCTCCTTAAACTGGTTCTATTTAAAGCACACTTAATTATACTGATATATATATATATATAATATCATACCCATTACAGTGAAACCTGCTATTGTGGACACTCTAAAATAAGGACACCTCTATAATCAGGACAGGTAGTATCAGTCCCAATACAATATAAATGTGTATTAATGAACCTCTGAAATAAGGACACCTCTATAAAAAGGACAGTTTTATTTGGTCCCAAGGTGTCCGGAATAGACAGGTTTGACTGTAGTTGACCTCTTCATAAAAATGATTTTATTTGGACAGAGTGTGAATAGGAGGGAACAGTGTTAGGGTTTCTTATTATCAACTATTCAACAAAAAACAAACTGCTAATGACCTAATTAGCCTTCCATTGCCACAATATGAATTTAAAGGAATAATAATGATCATGAATCTTAAAGTTTACAATATCAGTAGGTAATCTTCATGTGAAAGTGTCTTAATATGAAAATGAAGCAATTCATTCATCCAGAGATGAGAGTATACTGATTGCATGTGAAAGCATTTATCAGTATCTATGATCAATAGCTGTGATCAATAGCTGCAAGGCAATACACACTACTATAGCAATAGGAAGTACATGTACCCTGGACACACACACACACACACACACACAGAGTGACTTAATAGTAGTGTCATGATAGTGCTCTTTAGTAGAGTGAACAGGACCCAATCTGAAACATAATAGGACCAGCCACATCCTTAGTAAGTAATTGGTATAACACAGTAAGGGCTCTGATAATAAACAGTAGCCCCATGGAGTACATATTGACCTACATTAGATAGTAATTATGTGTATGAACTGGCAGGTGGCCAAGCACATTAATGCTTCTACATCAAGAGCTGGCTTTCATATCAAGTGAAGATAAATAATTACAAAATAATGAGGTGAGACGTTGCAGTGTACATTGAAGCTACAGACAATCCAACAGAAGTAGTTGTTACACAAGCTAATGAAAGTATTACATATTGGTGAGCTAATAACACATATAGCCAGTCATCGTGTCTTGTGACATTATGATAGTACCTTCCTTAAACTAAAGGTTAAATGCTGTCAACTAACTCCTTTTATTAATTGATGCTGACAACAAGGGATAAGCAGTGAGGACAGTAACCTCACTACAGTGACTGCCTGTTGTACTAAAGTGTGTATTTTTGCTGTTTGTAAATTCGTCCCATCCTTTGATGACACATGTCAGCTCAAAAATATACAATGATTGATTATATAAGATGCACGAAACTGAAATTCAGTACTGAATACAAACAAAGGGAAAAATAGGCCAAACTCACACATAATAATAGTAATAATAATAATAATAATAATAATAATAGATACATACAATTGCCAAAAAAACAAGAGTAGTAAATAGTACAACTGTTAACAATGCTAGTAATCTAGTCAATTTAAGCAGTACAAAACAACTGAGCTAGTTCCAAATTAATTTTCATTGTTGTTATTTAGATTTGCTATATTTACAGAGAAAATAAATCCCAAAGGCACAAAATATCATTAGGAGCAACATAGTGTCATGTAGCTTTTCAACTAATAAGTTATCATTCTTGTAATTATTGTGAATTCTGACAATACAATAATATCTATTACGCACAACATGACATAACTCTTGACTAATTTTGTGGATTCTGTTTACAGAATCCCTTTCCTTTCCATCAAACATTTCCTTATGATGCTAAATTACAATTTCTAGCACATACATACATGTACATGTGCCAGCATATTACACCTATACATAGAGACACACATGCAGTACATGTACAATGCATAGGCTAATATAATCTAATTAGGGGTACATTAATATCCAATTACTTCTGTTATTCCCATTTGGAGTAGTGTATCAATTTTTGCTGATATTTCTGCATCATCAGTAGTCTTTGGAGCTAAGGAAATAAAAGACAGGAAATGAATAAGACTAATTAAAGGAGGATGTACGTGTGTTGTGTGTATACATACCTCCAGCATAAGTCTGTGCCCAATGTTTAGCTGTTTTTCTGTAAAGTTCAGGATCTCCTTTGTACTGCTTGGCTACAACGGCATCTTGTGGATCATCAGGCTCAGCTGCCTGAAGTAAAGCCTATTAAAAGTATAATGTATAATCAGGATTTCCCAAAGGATTTTGGCATAGTGCTCATGAAGCTTCTTGTCAGTGGATTGTCAAGTTACTCAAAATATTGGGCCAAAAACCCTGTACTTGAGTACAGGGTATTTTGACAAAAATCAATAGCATAATATTTACCATTTTATAATTTTGTCCTGATACATATACATGTACATACATAGTCATATACATGTACTTATGTTGCATAAAACTTTTGAGCTGGTTCCCAATAAATTTGACAAGCTTTTAAAGTTGCTCCAAAATTTTTATGATGTACATACATGTACTTATGTTGTGCATAAAGTTTGAGCTGGCTCTAATCATATTTGGATTATTTATGAATTTTTAAAGTTGCTAAAAAATCGGGCCAAAGTCCCTGTACTATAGTACATGGTCTCGGGCCAAATTTTGGCAAAAATGATTAGGAGAGAATTTTCCATTTTTAAAATTTTTTCTGATACATATACATGTACTTATGCTGTGCATAAAGTTTGAGCTTGTTCCAATCAAATTTAAATTTTTTATAAATTTTTTAAAGTTGCTCAAAAATTGGGCCAAAGTCCCTGTACTATAGTACACGGTCTCAGGCCAAATTTTGGCAAAAATGACTAGGAGAGAATTTTCCATTTTTATAATATTTTCTGATACATATACATGTACTTACGTTGTGCATAAAGTTTGAGCTTGTTCTGATCAAATTTGGATTTTTTATGAATTTTAAAAGTTGCTCAAAAATCAGGCCAATGACCAAACACTATAGCCTTTGGCCAAAGACCAAATCTCGTCAAAAATGGCTAGAAAAAAAGTCTCTGTTTTTTAATTTTTCTCATACATATACATGTCCTTATGCTGTGTCTCAATTTGAGCTGATTAAATTGTACAATTTTAAAATAAATGAATATTTTATATATATGTAGTGGTACTAATACTATAATACTGACCTGTATTGATAATAATACTGTCCTAAGAGTCATGGCAGCAGCCCTGCATAAAAATTAAAATAATGATTGTTACCATCATAATTATTCTCACCATTGGTCTTTAAGAATATCTAAACAGATTGCACCAGTCACAGAGCTAATATTTGGATGCCAAATCTTTGTCACAAATTTTACCTGAAAAAAATAGTATTAATAAAAATGATGATTTTGCAATGATGATTAACAAACCTTTGGAGGATTAAATGGGTATGTATCAGGAATTCTAATATCTAAAATATAAGTACCACCTAGAAAAAGAGAATGATGACCTGCTTGAGCAAATATCGATTTTTAAACTTAAAAACAAAATAGTTTGTATAGCAATCTGCAAAAAACAAAACCATTTAGACAAAAAAAGATGAACACACGTCACACAGATCATGTACATGTACATGTAAGCAGATTACTGCCTGGTAAAATTAGAAACGTTTCTCTATTATTAAATAAATTACCCTCAAAAGGAGTGTCTGGGGGTCCAATGACTGTCCCTTTCAATTTGGTTAAGTCACTCTCATCTATAATCTCTATCTTTATTTGGGACTTCTGAGCCTAAAGTAAAGAGAATTGAACGAGGACAAAAGACGGCGAGAAGAAAGAAAGTTATTCTTTATGCTGTATATGTGATAAAAGGACTCACTTCTTCGCTTGAGACAACTTCTCTGAATTCTCTTTTTACACGAGTTATGTGAAGACTCGCCATATTGAAACAAACCACGCCTACTAGTTCATTAGGTTATTAGTTGTTAATTAATATTGAACTTTGATAATAATACCATTGCTAAACACAACACAACTTTAAAATAATATAATAATAACAGCCCACACCATCAGAGTGAGAGAGAGAGGAATAAAACCACAACGGGTTCATAAGATAGAGGAAGAAGTTCAAAGGAGGGCAAGTTTAAATATTCTTTAAATAAAATTAATAAATAAAAATGACTAAAATGGAGCCTGACCAAAGAGATCAGTAGGCGGAGGAGGTAACGGATCTTTGAACGAGCTTTGAACCATATTGTTTGGCGGTTTCTTCTGTTCGCTATAATAAAACACGATAAATTATATTTACGAAAAAATACATTTACATTTACCTCACATAGGAAGATGAAGAAGCAGGACTAATGGATGAGATAGGCCGGGAGCGAGGTCTCTCACGTGAGGATATAGAAGTTAAAGTTATAGTAGGTCTGTACATAAAATATGACAAGGTAAAGATTAAATGTAACTTGGAGGACTCACTGTTGTGAAGTCGTTCTTTTCATTACTGAGGGTGAAGGTGTGGGGGTGCTGTTGGAGTCTGTGGTTTCAGAGACAGAGAGAGTTTTGGTGGCTTTGGGTTTTACGAGCTGCATCGGCATATCAAGGACGGACGGAATAGGAGAGTTCTAAAAATAGCAATGAAGAGTAGAAGTGTAAGAAAATTCATTTCTGTACTCAAGAATTGGTTATCTAAAATCAGCTCAAACATTTCTGTATTACATAAGAGCATGAACATGAATGAATGAACATAATGTATATGTACGTGGACATGCATGTACAATGTACATTGACATATGCACTTCATTCCTTCTTAGTTTCCCATTTCTCTCTCTCTCTCTCTCTCTCTTATACTTACAAATACGTTAACGATAGGACAGTCCTTGCCAGCCAATTTGTATGCCACCCAAGAGACTTGAAATATGTCCGGTCTTTTATTAGGATCAGTATTCAAAGTATATTCTATTAAAAAAAGAAAAACAATTAAAGGATCAGTGTGAGCTGGGAATTCTGTAAAAGAATGGCTTTAAAGTAGAACTGATCATAGGAAGTGTTTCTTATTCTGTAAATTGGCTAGTTTTTAAAATGGTCATAACTTGAAAAATTAAAGTTGGTTCAACTCAAACTTTCTACATAGCACAAGGACAATAATACATGTATGTATCAAAAAATGTAATAAAAATTGGGCGTAATTTTAGAGCCATTTTTCAAAGAAACCATGAGCCATAGTACAGGGTATTTTTCAGAAATTCGCTTGTTTTTTTAAATGGTCATAACTTATAAAAATTAAAGTCATTATACACACATTATTTACGTGCCTAAGTGGATTCAATTAACTCCATTAGCAATGAAAAGAGACCATCCAATTTACAACTCATTTTAATACTTAATACCTCCAACTCTTATAAATAATTATTTAATGATATTTTGTTAAATAAGAAAAATGACATGTACATGTACTATTTCTCACTTATTAATCCAAGGAGTCCATTAGAGTAGTTTGAAGCATCTGCCGGGAAGGAGAATGTTCCTCTCATGATGGCCAGGGTCTGTTCCCCAAACGGAGTATCAAAGAAACAAAATTTATACAACAGACAACCTAACGCCTGAAAAATATAATAATTATTTTAAATTAAATCAAGGAAACAGAAAAATAACCGAAAGCACGAGACCAATTATTTTTAAAGAAACAAACAGATTTTATACGTACATTCACATATGTACATGTACATGTACATGTATGTATATTATACTTCACACAAGTACTGAGTCTACTGACCCATATATCTGATTTAGTAGAAATGGTATATCCACTGTAGAGGTCTACCATTTCTGGTGCACGATAAGCAAGTGTGGTGAACTTCTGCAACTGATCCTGACACTCACCTACACCAACCTGTGGCAATAAAGGATGATGAATGTAAAAGGACAGCAACGTTGTGAGACTAATGCAATTATAGTACAGACACATGAGATAAATTTAAAAGGGATTATTTAAACAGAAATCATGTAAAATACTATAGCTATTACTACCGCCATAAAGTGCATGTACTATAGTAAGTTAGTACTATATGTACATTGTATATATTCCTTTAGCAGATACAACATATTAAGGTTTAGTGCTAGTATAGTGTGGAGTGGCTGGTAGCAATTGTAATCGGTATCAACTATCAAGAGTATTGGTCCTTACCTCCTTTGGGTCCATTACTGATGTAGTACAGCTCCCATAGTCACAGAGGACAAAGTTACCAGAGAAGTCTTGCAAAATGTTTTCTATCTACATGTACATGTATTATGTAAAAAGGGAAGGGAACAGTAAATAAAAAGATAGAGTGCATAATAATATTAACACACACAAAAGGTAGTTAAGCTGTATGAAGGACAACCACATCAAAGTACAGTTGGGAATGACATAGTTGGCCACAATACAAAAAGGATTGGATTGTGTACTATTATTATTGTAATAATGTTACTTTTAAGTCTCTATGGATGATTGGCTTGGTCCGATGGTGAAGCCGAGATACAGCTAAACAGACATCAGTGAATATCTTTAGGATGAGAGCTTCAGGTAAACGCTTGCCTATTGAATACATGTACATGTAAAATCTCCCAAGAGCTCATATCTAGTAGTAGGTACTGCTAAGATACACGTGTATATCTAAACTGTAATCAGGCTACTTTACACGATGCAATCTGTATAGCTTTGTGCCTGTTTTATGCTTCACTGCACACATAAACAAATGAAAACCTGATAGAATCTTTGATAGGACTCTATGGAAGGATGCATTTTGTGTTGCTGTGTAAACCCAGCCTAAGTCAAAACTTTTGACTAGTACTAGAAGATTACATAAATTAAAGCAATGAGGCTTAGAAATCTCCTATTTTCGTAAAGGGCCAGATAATTTTATAGGTATGATGTGATTTACCTTGACCATGGTACTGCCTTATTAGCTGTAGCCCGGTCTGTCCTCCGTATAACTGCATTAGTATCAAAACTTCGTAAACTTCCCTACTGAGTTTATTAATCTGCGATGCAAGATATGTTACTGAATTTGGAGAATCTGACAAAGCTTTCTATAAAAGTGAAAGAAAAACATCAAAATTATTGTCCTCCTCATTCATTTGTCTCACTCCTGTTCATCTACTGCAATCTATTGTCTCTCCCTCTCTCTCTCTTGTATATCTAATATCATTTCCTATGTATCGTGGCTTCGTGTTGGTTATGTCTGCCAACAGTGTCAATCTTGTACTCACCAGTATTGCTATCTCTTGGCGACATAAATAAAGGTCCTGTTCACTGTTCACAGCCACTCTCTTTAGTGCAAGCCTCTCGTTAGTACCAGCTGTACATTTAACCTCCAAAACAATAGCATATCCACCTGCAGAGGGACTTGAGTTAAAAACCCATTCTCTCATTAACACTTCAAGACTTTATTAACTTCTCTCTGCAAGTCTTAAAGCGAGCTCCCGGCATTACCTTCTGCTATGACGTCTTCCACAATGTACTGGCGTCCATCTAGTGTAAATGTCTTCCCTACGTAGCCCTGTCTGAGTCTCTGTCGGCCAGAAGATCTCTTCCTCACTAGTTCAGCCATCAAGGACTCATAAGACTCTGACTCCCCTGTATTTTAATATTACTCTAGCATATACGGTACTGCCACTCCTATTCGCTTAATTAAAAAAATCACCACGTGGGTTTCCGTATATGTTTGAAATAGTTCGATTTTATTTTTAACCGTATAATTTTAAAAGGCCACGCCTTTATTCACTGCCCATCGATTCAGGTATTTTAGGCATGCATGAGGGAGTGCTGTAGCTTTAGTTTTAGAAGGAGCAGGCAGCTCTTGCAAGCCATTTAAATAATAGATACCGAGCGACTGTAAGGAGGGACACTACTGTCTTAATTATCCTTCTTTGTAGTGCTGAAATCTACCCAGTAACCAGTGAGTTTTATAATTATTCAATATAAATAATTCATGGATAAAATTTCATGAATACAGTTGTGTGTAACTCATAATAGAGCTTTTTGGAAATGTTGCACTGTATGATTATTAATATCCTTATATAAATTTTATCATCACAACTTGTTGCACTGGATTGTATTTTTATAATTCGAGCATTGATGCTATACAAGGTCTGTGTGGGTCCCCATATTTACAATTATCTTTATTAATGTTTATAAATAACTTATTATCTCGAGAGACCCTGGAAATGCTTCATTTGTCTTTGGACTGAGCTACCACACACATTCTCTTCCATTAGTCAAAATACCCCTCCTGTGCCTTATTATTAAAAAAAAAACACCTTGACATTGGCACACAGATATTCATGTACTGTGTCAGTTGTAGCTCTGTTGTTAAATCTGTTGTCAGTTAGTCGTGAAGCAAGCTGTTTGCGATCAGAATTCTTCACAAACACACACACACACACACGCTCATTGCACTTGCTCATTCACATGCAGTTGATTCATTTTGGGGCAACTCCCTTTTCTTTTGGTACCTCTCTCTCTCCCCCCTCTCTCTCTAGCTTCTTATAATTTCTTATTTGCTGTTGTTAGTAATTGAAACTAAAATATTATCATTTATTTATTGTTATTACTTATAGTTATTTTATTTTTATTTTATTATTTGTGGCACTGTGTGTGTGTGTGTGTAGCTATAGTTACTGATACTGGTATGAAGTTACACTGTTGGGCCAAACACTGATATACGTGATGAATTGACTCAATTGAGGTCACCAGCATAAACAAATAGCATTTGGGATTCAGCTTATACATGCATACCATGCCATACCAGACAATACGTGTCATTAGGAGATTCTTAGGCTCATTGAGTCATTGCTTTACATGACACTAATGATACATTAGTGTGAGTGAATACCTGACATTCATTGATAATTCATTGCTTATTGATGTACATTGTAAGTGTTGGTTGTATTGGGAATATGTCTACCTTATATCTAGCTATTGTTCAATTAAATTTTTTCTTTAAACACATAAATTTTATTAGTACTTATAAGGCCACTATTGTCTCTCCATTTTACTATCATATTCTTATCAGCCTCCACTGTGTATCCACTATGTACTATGTATTGTTCAATGAGTTAAGTGCTATGCCTTATAATGTCCTCAATCAAGGACTGTGTGTGCATTCTTACATGCATCATCATCATGTATGCATGTGTGTCTTGTGTGCTTACATTTTTATCCGTCTCTCTTCTGTTGCTAGGCAGATAAACACTATGCACTCCCTTGTCATGCCATTTATGTGTGTTGAATCCATTCCATGCCATACATACATACATACATTCATGTCGTGTGTATAGTGTTTGTATTGTGTAATTAATTGGAACGCATTCCATTGTGTTCTTGTTAATACAGACAAGTCTAAACTTGCATAGTGGCTTGTGGAGGAGTATTGACCACAGCTCCACACTGCAGCCAAATTATATGCTCTATGGCTGGTAATGCAGGCATTATGATTGACTGCACTCAAGGAATGAGCTATAAGATCAGCCTCTCACTTGGTCTCACAAACACAACTTAAAGCAATACAATTAAAGCAACCCTTGTTACTATCTTCCTTTCTCTCTCTTCCTCTTATGTATTTGCTTTGTATCTTTGTTTACCATTTAGATTCTTGCTATTATTATTACTATTATCATCATCATCATCGTCATTATTGATGTTATTATTACTATTTATTATGTAATACATTGCTTGGTAGTACATGTACACGTACATACGTTTCTGGAGTAGCTAATTACCATTCTAATGGTGTCTGTGTGTCTATAATTTGAGACGGGATAATTTTAGCGACAAGTATAATATTTCTTTTGATTGAATGCTAAGCACACGCTCGCACAAACAAACACTTTATTATTTTTATTATTTCCAGGTCTGTTTGGAGATTGATGCTACTCACCACTGTCTAACGAGTTTTCATCAAAATGGCCGACCATATCGACATAGACAGACTCAAGCCTATGGCTGGTGGAGGAGGAGGAGGAGCACCAGACAAGAGACTAAACCATCGTTACCAGCAATACACCACCGATAGACCACTACACTCCGACGCTTACGATTACAGATCTCATTATCACCATCAGATCAACCAGCAACCAAAAGTAAAAAAAGACCCACACTCACTGGTTCCTAATTGGAATAGCACTTGGTGTTCTTATTCCATTTTCTAAAGCTTGTCAATGCCCTTATACACTGCTGACAGTTTGAGTTAACAATTTTAATACATGTACATTATACATGCAAATGTATCATGTGTACTTTATGCATGTTTTATTTCAGTTGCAAGCTTACGTTCAACAGTTGAAGTTTGAGAAGGATCAGTTGAATAAGCAGCTCCATCAACTGATGGCTGAACACGAGCAGCACAAGAATCGTATAATGGAAGAACTAAAGAGAGTGAGAAGGTATAGTATCCATTACACAACAATGACACATTAGTAGTTTTAAAAATTCAATAATTGTGTCTGATCTCAACTCATTCTCTAATTGTCTGTCTCTCTCTTCCTTTCTCTTCTTTCATGTCTCAGTGAGTTGGAGTGTGTCGTTCAAGACAGAGATGATTTCAAGTACAAAGTGACCGAGTTACAACGAGAGAAGCAGAGGCTGGCAGAGAAGCTCCAGTCCATTGGGTCTAATTATGACGTGTCACGCTCGGCTGCTAGTTCCATTGCAGACTTAAAGGCAGAGAATGCTAAACTAAAAGTGAGTGCAAGTAATGTAGTGACATATCTTCCAGCAATTAAAAGTATTTATGTATTCCATTAAAATTAATGTTTGTGTTTATGTTTTACGTATTACCTTGTCTTCTTAATCCATTTTTTATTTATTTACTTGTTTATTCAATTTATTTGCTTCATTAGGAGAGGCTAGAGAAGTCACACAGTGATAGGGAGTCAGCTGAGCTGAGGGACACTAATAGAAAACTGGCTAAAGACCTTGATACCTTGCAACAGAAGCTCAAAATGGCTGAAGCAGAGATCATACGACTAAAGAAATCAAAGTGAGGGAGAGAGAGAGAGAGAGAGAGAGAAAGAATACAACATTATCTACATTAGAACAAAGAGAGAGAGAGAGAGAGAGAGGAAATATCACTTATCAATCCTTTGCCATTGTAACGTGTTGTGTTTTTATAGTTCATTGAAGATTCAGAGTAGTAGCAGTGATGAGAGCATTGAGGAGAATAGAAAACATGAGGAGACTGGGAGATATGAGGACGTAAATCAGCACGTGTTCGGAAGGAGTCACAGCCACTCTGTAGTTGACCTCCATACCAAGTAAGAGGAGAAACTAATTGATTTGTGTATACATAAATGCAAAGTTAGCATTTAAAGTACAAATGGGATTAATTTCACGGGAATTAAAGCTCAATTCCTCATATTTCCATTTTATGACACTTGTGCCAAGTACTAATAGCAATGAGAGTAGTAAATTTATTTCATTCCATTGTAGGAGGATAAGTAGCAGTGGACAGCTTCATCCTATGGGTGGTTTTGGATCAAAGAAGCAACTGAGCTCAAGTGCCAGCAACTTACTAGAAGACAAAAGAACCGAGAACGTCATACCTCAGCTCCAAAGCCAACTCAGCAAAGCCTTTCGTGAGAATGTACGCAATAAATAGAAATAAGTATTAGATTGTGTGTTAGTAAATATAAAATAAGTGTAGCGAATGAATTAAAATATGCGTAGCTTGTGTACTGTAATGTGGTGGGCGTGTGTGTACACTGACAGTATTTACATGTACGTGTGTGTATGTGTATGACGATAGTGTGTGCTGGTTTCTCTTTGGTTTCCTTTTGTATTGTTGTGATAGTCTGAGTGTTGTAATGCAGAGGAGAGAATGCATGGTTTGATATCATAACTTGCTACATGGAGCAAACGAACAAGGAAATTCCAATCAATAATAGAGTCACAAATCCCACACTCGTTGAGAAATACCAAATCATCCTGTCTATAGATTATACTTGTTAATATCCACTAAGAGTATGTACATGACGCTATGCGTTATGTAGAGCAGCTCCAGCTGACATTACAATTAATTATTGAATAATGATTTGTTGTCAAACAGTTGGCATACAGAATAGCTGTATTTTTAATGTACAATTCCTCCAGTAATGTATGACTATTGTAAGAATTTGTGCGATAATTGTGGCACTTATTGTGTAAGATTGGCAATGATGTAAATATTGTGTAATTCTTCCTTTTTTCCAGGAGACTCTATCGCAGCAGGTCTCGGAGATGAGGTCCTTTAGGGCGGAGCTTGAGTCAAAACTAAAGACAGTTGAGGCTGAGAATGAGACACTGAGGGATCAACTGAGTCAAGTGAAGGTGGAGAATGCGACTGCACACGAGGAGATGAAAGTCGTTCAAGGAATGTCAATGCAACAGACTACAGAGACTTATGAGAAGAGCATGCAACTACAGACACAGCTACTGGAACTAAAGGTGTGTGTGTGGGGGGGGGGGGGCTTTTCCTCTTTTATTATTTTTTTGTTGTGATTTAGACTGAGAAGACATTAGCTGAGAAACAGAGAGACATTGCTATAAGAGAGAGAGACCGTGTCCTAACTGATGCTATACAAGTGAAGAAGAAGCTCGAAACCATTAAAGTATTAACCTCCTCCCCTGGGCTATTCCTCCTAACTTATTATTGCTGCTTCTTTTATTCTTTTCTCTCAGGCTCAGCGTCAAAAGGATGCAAAGGAGCTCTCAGCAATGAGAAAACTCAAAGATAAAACCGTTGTGGAGAGTCAAGAGTCATCAAAGCAGCTCAAGGAATTGAAGGATAGTCTACAAGAAGTGAGTCCTCAGGCCATTCAATACTTTAATTGTGTGTGTGTGTGTGTGTATGCAGGCAGAGAAGAGTTTGGCTGATATTGTCAATGAAATAAAGTCTATTGCTGGAACTCAGCGAGAAACAGAGGTACGACACTCTAGTTTTTTGTATTAAAATTATATAAAATACATGTACATCTTATTATATTAACTTATTATTGTTGTTATTGGTCCTATATCTCAGGTCAAGGGTTTGCTTGGTGTTTTAAAGCAACAGAAGGCAGACTACACTTCAATGCTAAGACTATTGTACGGCAGAGAAGTCACTGATGATATAACGTCATCTGGAGCTCTTAACAAACTGGAGATATTCTTCCAAGAGAAGAGTAACCTCCTTGTTGAGGTTGAGGACCTACAGCGCTCGGTAAGTTTGTACTATCATCATACATTGTACCATTATCATTATTATTAACATTATTATTTTGTTTTTGGCGTATAATGGGAGATTTAACATTTCAGAAATTTGTCAAAGAGCCAAATTAAAGCTGCACCCAATCATCCACCATGCAAGCAACCACTCATCAGTTCCAGTGTACTGTAGTATGCTACTATAACTATCAGACCATAGGCACATACATGTATTAGAATAGAAAAGGGAATCTAGAGCATATGTACTGTACATTGTACATTGTATATAGATGGTTTTTGTGTGTTCAAAGGATACCCTATCCTACAATTATTATGTTGTGCATTTACCACAAAACACACACACATGCTCTGAGAGAGGAAGGCTCATGTTCAAAATAACATGTAACCTTTGTAGAAACAAGCAAACAAACAGCTTATGTCATTTTCAACCACACACAGTTACACACACACACACACACAAAGGCAATGTACAAATTTTCAATTGAACACAACTAATGCACATGCATGTACTACATTGTATTTCATAGATGATATTCCTAGAATTTCAAGTACACGAAATCATTGTCATATTTGATATCGTACAGCATTATTATTATTACTATTAGTTTTATTATTATTATTGCAATATACTGGTCGAATTGTCTAATTGAGGTGGAGTGCATTTCCTTTATTTACTCATGCATCCAATGTGACACAATGTACATGTATTATCTCTCTCTCTCTCTCTCTCTCTCTCTCTCTCTCTCTCTCTCTTAGGCCAGTAAACAGAACGAGGACTACATATTTGATTTAAAGCAAACCATTGAAGAGTTGTACATGGAGCAGGACACACTCAAAGGGAAGAACAGGTCCATGATGAGCCGTGTCGGCAAACTCGAGAACGAGAGAGAGAAACTCCGTCAAGAGTGCGAGAGGCTGGACAAGCAGTGTCAGGAACTGAACGCGACTCTCACCTTCCCTTCGGCTAACAGTGAACCACACGTGGAACAAGTTGAATGGGGAGAGGTATGTACAGTACAATCAATAGATATACTCCTTATAGTTTTCTTAGAGTCTAGTATCATATGCATGTACTACCTCTATCTTAAATTACTGCTGCTAGTATTTAAATTACTGCTTATTGTTCTCTTTTTTTGTATGCTTTAGAATTGGGAGACAAAACACATACAGATACCACTGGTAAGGAGTTATAGTACTACATCATATGTACATGTACATGTATATACGCGTGTACATGCATGTACGTATACATATATATTATGAGTATTGCCTGATCAATGGCACATAGGTCGGTACTAGTATATTATTTTTATTTATTGCTTTGTTAGGGCTCTGAAGGTAAAGCTGGTTTCAGTGTCGTAGGTGGCAAAGACCAGCCTCAGTTACCGAACCCTGGATCGTTCATCGTAACCACTGTTAGCAAAGGAGGCCCTGCTGATGGGATATTAAAGTACAGTGTTATAATTAGAATTTTTAAAATAGCATATAATACAATAATAAATAATAATATAATAATAATAATGGTAGTAATAGTCGTAATTTGTTGTAAATGGACATATTTTCTTTACTCTTAGGGTGGGAGATGTTCTGGAATGCGTTAATGGTCATTCTCTAAGTAATGCCCATCACTCGCAAGCTGTCGCCGTTGTGAAAGAATCCAAGGGTTTACTAGATATTGTAAGTATACTAGAATTACAATATAATTGTTATCCCTATACGTTTAATCACTTGTAGGTTCTTAAACGCCGCAAGAACGCCCATGCACTTCAAGTAGGTGTGGCTGGTGCCATTTTAGAATTAGGAGAAGGAAAGAAGAAGATGAAATCTCACGAGTTTTCACTAATGCTCCAAAAAGATGGTAATTGTGTTTATTTAAATTAGAAATTAATACACAGTCAGCTACATGTACTATTATTATTATTATGTCTCTTTCTCTCTCAATAAGGTTTTGGATTTAATTATGACTGGGAGACTCATTACTCCATATCAAGTATCACAGAAGGAGGACCGGCTGATAAGATATTGCAAACTGGAGACAGAATTATACAGGTATATCCTATCACTTTACCAGTATATAATTGTATCATGTTACTGCAATGCTTTAGGTTAATGGGACCAATGTGTGTAAAGAGAAGCCTAACTCGGTGAAGAAGCTCTTAAAGCCAAACAAAGGAGTACTGAGGATTGTGATTGAGAGAGAAGAAGAGGCAAGCAACTCACAGCTGCTCGTATCTCCTCCTCCACTTCAATCAAGTACACATTAAGCATTATGAGCTATTTATGAATAACAAATCTATACCTCTTTGATCGTTCTTATCCTCATTTAGTATCTGAGATGTGTCCTCCCAGTAAGTCTGCCTCGGGTAGCAGTGACCACAGTAGCTCCGCCAGGAACACGTATAGAGCTCACGTAGAACACACTGATGTGTCCAGCTGGTGTAGCAGTGACGATTACGGCGGAACACAAAACTCACAGGATCAGATCCCATCCCATTACCACTCACGTCCTGATTCCTATCACTCCGCAACACAAGAGAGCAATGCCTCTCAGGTATGAGCTACATTATCTACTCATTACTTATTATTCTTTGTTATTCGTAGGAGCCAGTAAAAATAGAGGGACCGAGGTCACACTTACGTTCTGGCGGCCGTTGTTACATTGCCGATGGACCTCATCGACCAACCAGTGATGGAGTGATGTATACGTCAGCTTATCCTCCTAATAATAGAAGAGTGGAGTTTGAGGTAAGTAACACAGACACAGACAGAGGCATATGTTACTATGGATGTGCTATAATTGGCCAGAGGCTACTGTATGGTACATGGTTGAGTCTATGAGACACTCCTTAGACTATATATAGCCAATAACAATTGGATTTCATGCAGTTATTAGTTATTGCTGAGAAATGTAATCAATGATTAGCTCATACATGTGTACATGTATATGTGTACACTGTTTATATCTTTAGTATCCATGTAATTGCCCATTAGCATATTTTGTTTGATGGTATAGTCTGTGCATGTGTTAGCTGTAATGCCATTGCCCAGTATTTATTTGATGTGTGTGTGTTCATTGTATGTACACTGTGTATGATGTGTGTTATGTGTGTGTGGGAGAGAGGGCTCTCAGGTATTGTGTTACGGGTATACTGATATGCCTATCATTTTTATCTTTGTTTTTATTCCCACACATTCCTTTGTATACTCCTACTTTTATCATGAGCTACATGTCCATTTCACCCTCTTTTTCAACGTTATTCTCCCCCTCTCTTTTCCTCCCCTCTCTCCCCTTTCCTCCCCTCTCTCCCCTTTCTTCCCTCCCCCTCCCTCTCTCTCTCTCTCCCCTCTTTTCTTGCCCCTCTCTCTCCTCTTTTCACTCCTCCTCCTCTTGTTCACAGGAGCTAAGCAGTGAGGTTGGTAGCACTGATTACAGTGAGGGAGTTAGTGAGAGTTTTCTCAGTGAGCCGTCATCTTATCCTTACATGCCAATGGAGTCATCACAGACATCAATTGAGCTCACTTTCCACTCGATATCTCAAGTAATGGAATAATAGAGAGAGAGAGAGAGAGAGAGAGAGAGAGAGAGAGATTAAATAATGTATGCATGTTAAAATTGTTGGTAAATTTGTCCTAATTCTGATCAAATTTGGATTTTTTTACAAATTTCAAAGTTGCTCCAAAATTAGCCTAAAGTCCCTGTACTATAGTACAGGGTGTTTGGCCAAATTTTGCCAAAAATGAAAAGTAGAGAATTCGACATTTTTATAATTTTTTCTAATACATATACATGTTCTTATGTTGTGTAGAAAGTTTGAAGTGATTCTGATCAAGTTTAGATTTTTTATGAATTTTTAAAGTTGCTTAACCAAAGTCTTGGATTTATAGTGACAATGGAACCAATGGGTTTTTGCTTGTCACGGATTTCGTGACAATGGAACAAATGGGTTTTTGCTTGTCACGGATTTCGTGACAATGGAACAAATGGGTTTTTGTTTGTCACGGATTTTGTGACAATGGAAACAATTGGTTTTTGCTCTTCCCTCCATTAGGTATCACACAATAGACTCACAGTCCAATCCACAGTATCAACACAGCCGGAGAAGGAGATTCATTCTGACGATGATGAGTCCTACTTTGCTCGTGATGATGGCACCCGGACCACCTTTAGAACCCGCTCAGGGTCCGATGGACTCATGAGCAGTGTTATTGGTGGGGCCTCTCAGTTTCCTGAACTGGAAAATAGCAGCAGGTGACTTCATATTTCGATAATATCTATTTGTTTAATGGTGCATGACTACTTGTACATAGGAGTTTAAAGAAATCGTCAAAGGGCAAGTCTCACAGTAAATTTGGTCGTGGAAAGAAGAGCTGGAAGAGTGGCTCACTGTCCCAACTATCAGAGCCACAATATGACCAATATGGTATAGAGAGAGGGGGAGGGGGAAGAGATGCACAAATATTCAATAATTAATTATTATTTTATGTCACACCCACATGACTAATTAATTAATTTCCCTTGATAGTTGATTCAAAGAAGCGATCAAGAAGCAAGTCAATGCTGGCCATTAGAGGGCGGAGTCGCTCGAACCTCTCACTGACCGGAGCACGATCAATGACCTCAGTGCAAGAGGAACCAAGAAGATCAACTTCCATATCAAGTTAGGGAAAGGCACTACATGTACACCGTAATTATTGATAACCTACATTGTGCAACATTGTACATGTTACTTTATTTAATCTTTTTATTGCATAAAAATAATAAATAATGATCTATACTTTGTTGTAATGTACATTTTTTTACAAATTATGTTTGTTTCATTTTAGATGTAGCTGATGAAAGAGATCCATTGTCTGATGCTACATACATTAGAGCTAACTTTGCCTACATACCTAGACTGCAACAGGTAGGGAGCATCCATCTTTAAGGACTCCTCCATCCTTTCCTCTCCTCTAGGAACTCAGCATTCAGCCTGGGAACGTGTTCCACATTATAGAGGATGCCCCTGTTCGTTACAGGCGCTCGTTCTGGGTATCAAGACTCAATGAGGACGGGACTGATGCTGGAGTAGGAGCTATACCCAATACTGAGAGGGCACAAGAGTGGCTCAACGAACAAGGAAACAGTGAGTGTCTACTAATTAAGACTTAAATTATTATTTAATGTTTTTTTTCAGCCCTTGACATAGCCTTGTATGAAGAGGTGGAGGCATACACTGGCACCAGACCTGTTTTAATATGTGGCGTACTCGCTAGTCAAATAACCAACCTACTGGTTGAGAGCTATCCAAAACTCTTCCACTATTGTCATCCAGGTAAACTACATATAAAGTGGCTTAGTTTTAGCAAAAGGCTGGGCTTCTTCATTGGCTTGGAACTTGCCATAGTGGACTTATGTGTGAATTCATCTCTTTCATTTCCTGTATTTAGAGTTTGTTGAAGGTACTGCTAGGATCACTGAAGCAAGGTTGCATCGGGAACAGAGCGAGGGCAGGATCATACACTATGAGAGACATGGGGACACTGGGTTTGCTGTAATACCTAGAGAAGCGTTCACATCAGACAACTCCAAAGTAACTATAACACATCTACACACTTTATGATATACTAGCATTTTTAAGTTGCTCCAAAATTGGACAAAAGTCCCTGTACTATATATAGTACAGTGATTTTTACGAAATTTCACCAAATTTGAAAAGGATCGAATTCTCAATTTTTATTACGTTTTCTGATGCATATACATGTACTTATGTTGTGCAGAAAGTTTGAACTGATTCCGATCAAATTTGGATTTTTTACGAATTTTTGAAATCGCTCCAAAATTGAACAAAAGTCCCTGTACTATAGTACAGTGATTTTTACAAAATTTCACCAAATATGAAAAGGATAGAATTCTTAATTTTTATAACGTTTTCTGATACATATACATGTACTTATGTTGTGCAGAAAGTTTGAACTGATTCCGATCAAATTTGGATTTTTTACGAATTTTTAAAGTTGCTCCAAAATCGGACAAAAGTCCCTGTACTATAGTACAGTGATTTTTACGAAATTTCACCAAATTTGAAAAGGATCGAATTCTCAATTTTTATTACGTTTTCTGATACATATACATGTACTTATGTTGTGCAGAAAGTTTGAACTGATTCCGATCAAATTTGGATTTCTTATGAATTTTTAAAGTTGCTCCAAAATCATCTTACTTTTACATCTACCCTTATTCCTTATTGAAATTATGCCTTATGCTTGTCATTTATATCCTAATGCTGCATCTTGTAGGGAAAGCATGTGCTGGTTGGAGGAAGCATTGCATCGCTTCATAGACTTAAAACATTTGCTCCTCCAATCTCAATCTTAGTTAAAGCAGGAGCTGAAGAAAGCATCAAGTGAGTTAATAATAATAATAATAATAGTAATAGTAATAGATGCATATATGTATGTGCCAATAATGAGCTATTGTGTGCATTTGATGATACCAAACTCTTGTTTTCCAGTACGTTTGGTCCTGATAAACTGAGTCCAGTGGAAGTGCAGAGAATGTACGCCGAAGCCAGGATGCTGGAAGAGGAACACAGCCACGAGTTCACAGGTTTGTACTTGTTAGTATTTTTAATTCAATTTTCAAGGCTTGCACACGTAAAAAAAGAAACTTATTTTGATGATGTTATGATGTGATGTGTCATTTTTGTTCATCGTTATAGCTTGTCTTATGCTGGTTTTTGAGGATACACTATTACGACAGATTGCAGACATTGTCCGTCATGAGAAAATGAATCAGGCCTGGGTCCGTGTTGTCAGACAGCCCATTTCACCTTAGAAGAACTTTGATACTCCTCTGTCTCGTTTTCTTTCCTTCTCCTCACCAAACTTTGTTTTTACGATTTTTATTATGAGATTTTTTTAATTAATTGTTTTTTATATTATTATTATCATTATTGTTATACATTTTTTATTGTGTCAAGATGTAGCTACTTAATGCAATTTTTATTACTAAATCACATCTCTGTTATAATCATGATTATTATTTTTAGAGCATCCAAACTTGTTTTTAATTTTTGTTTTAGTAACTTGTGCTATTGTATTATAGATGTGTCACTTAATCAGTTTCTTTCAATATTGTTATTAATGTATTTTGCATCTGATTTTATTTATTACTTAAATTATAATTATGAAACTTTACAATACAAATATCAAACTTGTTCACACCTCCTTAAAAGTAATTTACAAGCTTGTTCACACCTTGTACAACAACTTTTATAGTAAACAAAAAATTTTGTGCGTATTTTGCCATTAATTGTTGCTGTATTCTTCCTCTTGTTCCATGTACCTGGTGTAATGATCATCAGCAATTTGATGAATATTAACTTCATTCTCTCTCACTCTGTTCTTGTATCGTCGAGCCAGTATTATAAACACTACCAGGATCAGTAAAACTAAAATACTCTTTGTCATGTAGTAGTAATACCTTGGACAGATGTACTTATTTCGACATCCAAATGGATACTTGAGGCTGATATTCAATGCATATCCAATCCCCATTGAAGCTAACCACATTCCAACCATTACTCCTCTCATGTGTACTGGAGACTGAGCTACTGTGAATTCCAGTGTTGCAGGAACAATGAAGAAGAAAGCAAGTGCACAAAAAACTTGAGGAAGAAATAAAGTTTTATTGGCATAGAGTGTATGACATGTAGAAGAGCTTTCATCTGCTGGAAAGTAATAGTAAATGAGACCTTTAGATATCATTGCTGCAAGTCCACAAGCAATCCCAATGGGG